TGACGCGAGGGCTCTCCTAATTTTGCATGTGGGAAATTCGGAGAATGCTTCAACCTATCCTCCCTCTCGTCCTCCCCGACGATGCATAGGTCTGCCAGTGATGGCCTCGCGTCAATCGACGCCTGCAGTTGACATCAGAAATCTCAGAGCCGGCGGCCCTGGAGCCTGGCTCCTCGGTTCGACGTGCCTCTATGGGAAGTCTCTGCGAAGCTTGTTGCCTCAACTTGAGTGCGATACGCGGCGTGTTGCTTTGCGCTCTTCGGAGTCAGCGAGCTTCATAACTCAATTCCGGTCATTCTCTAGAGGGCGATGGCTTCACCTTTTTTCCTCCCAGGTAAGTTTGCTATTTCTCACACCTCCAAGATTACAAAGTCATTTACTAACTTGTTGAACATGGTTGCCCAAACCTACAAAACTAGAAAACTACAAGACTGCAAAAAGCTGCACCCGCCTGGAGTGATCTGCCACTGCCCAGCACGGAAAAAAGAAACACAACCCTCTGGCATCGTACATCCACCCCAACCTAGACTGATATCTGATTGCTCGTAAATGATCTTCCCTTGACTTCCCTTCCTATACTGCCGCGGTCAATAATGTTCGACTCGCTATCTCTGTCGGACGCACCAACGCTGAGAGCAAGCTGAGAGCAAGCTCACTGGACCTTCTTCAGATTGCAAATGATCCCATATTGACGCAAGAACCAACCGCAATGGATCTTCCATTCGCGATCCGGGTGGTCCAGCTCGATATCGTAATTTGAAATGAGTGTAGCCACGAGTTTGTATGTCTTGATGACGGCCACGTGACGTCCGAGGCAGATCCTAGGCCCAGCACCAAATGTGAAATCGTATTTGAGGTAGACCTTCAGACGTTGCTGGTAAGCCTCTTCCGACTCTCCAGCAGCCCGCAGCCAGCGCTCAGGCCTGTACTCGTCCGCGTCGGGACCGTAGATGTCCTTGTTGCGATGCGTGACGTAGGCATTAAGCCCGACGGAAGTCTGCGGCGGGACGAGGCTGCCATCGGGGAGCTTCAGACCTCCCACGGGGACATAACGCTCCAGCAACATGGACACGCCAGGATGTAGGCGCATCGTCTCACGGATAACAGCCTCAAGATCTGATGACAATGTCAGCAAATTCAAACACCTCGAGGGGGCTGAGATTCTTGGGTTGGTGACTCACATGGCAGGGCCTTGGCCTCATGGTACTTCGCGACCCGTCCGAGGTTCGCGCCTCGAATCTCCTTCTTGACCCTCTCGTACGCTCTGGGGTTCTTGAGCAGGAAGTAGATGACGGCCCGGATCGAAAGCGCGGTGGTATCAGCGCCAGCGACGAGGTTGATGAAGAGATAGCCGAGAAGCATGCCGTCGTCCACGAGCTCCGGGTTCTCCTTCCTGGCCTCGAGGAAATGATGGAGGTAGTCCGGCACGGCTGGGTTGTAGTCGCGATCCTTGCCTTGGACGCGGGCGGCGATGCGCTCTAGAGCGACGCGTTGGATGTTGCCTAGACTTGGAGGGCCTAATCTGTAGATGGGGTTCTTGTCGAGGAGGAAGTCGAGGAAGGGCATTTGTCCAATAGCCGCGAAGCTTTGGTTATCGCTGGTTAGCCATATCCTGACCAAGTATTTTGGGGTTTTCTCACTAGTCCAATGCCTTGTCGGCGATGCCAATGGTTCCGTCAAAGTCAGCTCCATGGGCCATGAATCCGAAGTCCTTGCTGAAGGAAGCGGCGCCAATCAAGTCCCAAATGCCTGGTATACGATGAGTACCAAGGAGCTTTCACAAGAGCGGATGTCTATAGAAGCAGACAGACTTACAGTATGCGATCCAGGCACCCAAGTCGCAAGGCTTTGAACCAGTAGGGGTCTTGACAAAGCGGTGATCAAGCTCGTCGCAAAGCTGCCCCATGACACCATCTAGGAGTGGCTCAAGGGCCAGCACCGCTCCAGGCGAGTAGTGCTTCGCGATGGGCCGCTTCATGATCTGGTTCTCCTCATTGCTTGGGATGCTGAACATGGTGTACACGATCTTGCCGTTGACCTTGATGCTATTGCCATGATAGAAGTCGGTCTTTCACTAGTCAGTGATTGATCTCTGAATAAATTGGCAGATTTTCTCATAGCACACCTTTAACCAGCTGTCATCTATACTGTATATTGTCTTGGTGAGCTCTGGATAGTCCAGGTCCAAGGTATTGGGCCCGATACGGACGACCGGGCCATATTTCTCGTGGAACTCCTTTATCTTTAGGTGATACCTGCCAGTGAGGACGAGATAGAAGCGGTACCAGTTGGTCCATGCTACGAAAATCACCCGATGTCAGTTCCATCGCTCACTGGCCGCAGCATATGAGGAAGGGCAAAGCCATAGAAGATCGCCATACTCACCCGCAAGCGGAGGACCAGGGTACTTGTTCAGCGGCGATGCGAGCTGGCGGACGAACCAGACACAAATCACCGAGATGACGCTAATAAGCAGCACAGGACGGATGTGGACCTTCCAGTCCCTGAGGAAGATGTGTAGCAGATCGGCATGGGACGCCATCTTGGATCGAGGAAGTAGGTGGTTTGAGAGAAGGGGACCAAGAAAGCTTGTAGGACTGGAAGCAGCTTTGGCATGGGCAAGTTTGCATAGGGACTAGTTTCTTTTAAACCGATTCCCCAACCTTGATTACCTTCTCCCTCTTGTTGGTTCGCCCAACCGGTGACACGAGCTAACTAAGTACTTGTTCCGTTCCTCCTCCTCCCCCCTCCCCGCCGGCTGAGGTAGGACGGGGTGGACGGCTGGACGCACACGTTTGCCTCATTGGTCTTGGGCTGTGTGATCCGCGAAGGTGGGATTCAGAGTTTCCATAGACGGGGGGCGTTTGGCCGTCACAAACCAAGGATATACGCCACCCTCTTGCCGTCAGGCTGACAAGGCGCATCATCCCAAAAGCATCTTAAACCACTTTGGGAGCCAATAAATGCAAGCACCCGCGTGGGGGAGGAGGCCCCCTTACGAGTAAGGGTTAGTTGAATGGCTAAATCTAGACACGCGAACGAGTCCTGGCGGGCTATCTGTATCACACCTGTCCCGAGGGAACTGCGACAGTTGGTCGTCAAAGTCACATGGGAGAAGTGGGAGAAGTGATAAAACAAGGCCCCAACGACGAGGCTGCTATGCAATATGAGCCATTGGAAGCGGATCGGTTTAGCCCTTGCTTTCCCCCCCTGTGGGATGAGATCACCCTCCTTGTTGGTCACCCCCCTGGAAAGATTTCCCTCCCCTATCTTGCAAGCTAGTAGCGGGAGCCAAGGCACGAAAGATTATTCTCCGGCTATTGCGTTCTAGAAACAACCCTCCGGGCCGGGGTAAGGAGTATGGGGGCCCGTTGGTAGGGCCCTGTAAGATCAGCCCGTGTGGTCACTTCTCACATTGTTCCCTGGCCCCATCGGCCGATATTTGGCGCATCCCGATCAAGTCCCCGATTGATGGACAGTAGCATCGCCGGGGGCTCATTTTGATGCTCATTCCGGGCGCATAGATCTGTTTCAAGCAAAGAGAGAGGCCGGATACGGTCAAATTTCGACCACGTTCCGCCCGCATTGTCGAAGCATATGCGAGGGGGAATGATGGCTAGTCAGCCAGGCCAGATCTCAACGCAGAGGGACGGCTGCGTGGCCCTCGGCTATATCATCACGTCTGTTAAGAGGGCGTGATAGAGTGGCATGCAGCTTGGTCCAATGGGTGGATAAGGGTAGCCGCCAACGTCGTGCCAGAACGCTGCATGAAGCAGGGATCAGTCTTGTAATTCTTGCCGGCCAGAACTTCTGCCTGCTTCGCTTTTCTGAAACGGGCATTAAGTGGCCACGACCAACATGAAGGGAAAACTGGAACAATTGGCAGCAAGCACACCGGTCTGCGACTCTGTGTTATGTGCCTCCCATCCGAACAAGGGTGCTGAGGGAGAAAGGGTGGATGGCGTTGCAGTCGGCTGCGGACACCTCATTTCTCTCGCACCAACTGGTCTTTTATATCCGCTCATCCATTTGGCCGCACCGTTTCCATGACCTGCATGTGTCAGGATAATGGGCCAAATCCCTGGCCGTGTGTGTCAAGCACCACCAGTCGTGCCCTGGTTGATCCTGGCCCGGGTCCCATCCAACTGTGATATCTCATGCTTGCTGTATGCGAAGCATTATTATGCCGCTGGAGATGGGGGAGGATGGAACGTTGACACAAGAAAACGACGAGAGCATGGCTTTCGAAACAAGGAATGCTTGGAGATCCCACGTAAAAGATGTGCTCGCTTATCTTTTTTACCTCATGGCATCAATAACGCCCACAAGGTCCAAGGATGACGGTGGTCTCTTGCTTGTTACCCCTTGCGTTTCTTTCTTCCGGAAATCTATGGATATGCTTGATTCAAAGATCGACCTGAAGGATTCGAGAGAACCATACTTTGCTGCATTATGGCCAGTGGCAAAGCCCTCCTCGCTTAGGAGGTAGGTAACTCGTAAACATGACTCTCTCCCCTGGACACTCGTGGACAATCTCCGCTGCAAAGTACCAACAAGCAACCGAATAAGCCTCAGCGTGTTCCTCTTTCCTGTACGGCCGTTTTACGTGCAGATCTTGGCATTCAGTTGGCAGATGGTGTGGGAAATCACCTCCGAGATCGCCCACAAAGGACGTGGTGTGTCGAACACACCCTATCCCTGTCACTCCATCACACATGAGTCTACTGCGATGCACCTGTCACCCAAAGAGCATTGTACAGCACCGGCCTGCATCGGGTCCAGCTGTCGGTGTTAGCGAGCGGGAAATGCTGCACCCTACGCTTCACCCCTGGCGGGGGGGAGGAGGCTGGCAAAGATGGCCACTCAGTGTTATGACGGTAAAGAAGAGAGAAAAAGGTCAGGAATCCCAGGCTTAGATCTTTGGTTCTGACGGCATGAACCTCTTCCGACATACAGCATACACGACACTGCAAAGAAAGGAGAGAGAAGAAAAAGCAAACATGGCCATCAAGGGCGACGCCGTCTGGTCTATTGCTGTCATGTGGGTCATGACCGTCATCGTCTTGGCCTTCACGATGCTTCGAGTGTACACTCGTGCCTTTGTCGTCAAGTCTTTCGGTGGTGATGATTGGGTCTATGTCTTTGCATTCGTAAGTTGGGATTCTATTCATCATGAGCCCGGGCAAGGAGGAAACTTAAGGGTCTGACCTTCACACCAGTTTTGTTTTCTTATGTACGCAACCTTTGTCACTGTCGCCGGGGTACATGGCTACGGCCAGGACATGGTCATCGTCCAAGAGAAACCAGACGAGATGAAGAAGGCAATCATATATCTGGCCGTGGGACAGACATTCGCCATGGTCGGCATGACGGTTGCCAAGTGGTCTCTTGGGCTCTTCCTCCTCCGCCTCGTCGAGTCTGCCTGGCACAAGACCTCCATCTGGATGACACTCGTGCTCCTGGCCATCGCGTCGCTCCTCTCCACCTTCGTTTTCTGGTTTCAATGCTCACCACCCCGTGCCATGTGGGATCGAACGCTGCCCGGCGCGAAATGCGAGGTCCCTCAGCTGCCCTTCTTTTACTTTCTCGGAGGCATGTGGACATTCCCGATATATTACCCCCCCTACTTTAACACAGTTTGAGGACAGTCGACAGAAGACTAACAAACACACAGCCACCTGTGCCTTTGCAGATCTCTTCTTCGCACTAGTACCCTGGTGGTTCATGTGGAATCTGCAAATGAATAAACGCGAGAAGCTCATCATCCTCTTCAGCCTCAGTCTCGGCGTCATGTGAGACACAACACTCGCCTCTTCTCTTCCCTGAAGACACTAAAATAAGAGACTAACGGTGTTGTCCAGTGCCGCTGCATTCGGTTTCAAACGCTGCACCGAGATCTACAAACTCGTCGGGCAGAACTTCCTCAAGGACGTGGTCTCAATCATCATCTGGGCCGCCGCCGAAATCGCTGTCACAATGGTCTGCATAGGCATCCCCATCTGCCGACCCCTCTACAAAGACTACCTGAGCCGCCTGAGCTCCCGAGACACGAGCAAATACAAAGGTCTTTCGGGGGAGCGACGAGGAGGCGGAGGAGGCAAGGGGGGAGCGACCGCCAGTGGGGGATCTGTGCCCCTACGCACCATCGGGGGCAGCGTGAGCGCCAAGCGAGCCGACTCGGGGCTGGCAGGAGGCACAACCACAACCGTGTCGAAGGTCTTCTACATTGGGGAGGGAGGCAGCGACGAGGAGATTCTCGATCCCGCGTACAGGCATGGGAAGTACAGTCCGCCAAACCCTGAGAGGGCTATCAGGGTGACGGAGGAATACGAGGTTACTACGAGCAAGGTATAAATCAAGACATAAGTGGACGGTAGAATTAATGGCTGTAGTAGAAAGGTTGTATCATAGATAGCTTACTAGGAGAGACTGAAATGTTTTCCTTTTTCAATTGCCCCGTGTGCTCTACGCTGGAACTCCCACAGACATGAGATCAAGGTTCGCCTGAAGATTCGCCTTGCTCGGCATGTTGCCAAACCTCATCAGCTCTGCACTCTGGACCATGAGAGGGTCTCTACCCATGCTTGCCATTGCCACGACTGTATCACCCTTGGTGTAGTAGGCCACAAACTTCGCATCTCCGGGGCTCCCATCGAGGACGAGATCATCCCAGCCATTTGCCGTGTTGCCGCAGTACCGCAGCTGCGAGCCGAGGGCCGACCAAAACACAGGGATGAACTGAGAGGTTTCAACCGACGAACTAACAATATGAGTTGCGGCTGCTCGGCCGGCGTTCTGAGCGACGTTCCAGTGCTCAATGCGCACAGGCTTTCCTTCACCGCCGGGGCCGTGATAGGGGTAGGTGGCGATGTCTCCAACCGCGTACACACCTTGCTGACCAACAACAGAGAAGTGTTGGTCAACCTTGATGGATCCATCCTTCTCAAGCTGCAGAGAACTATTCTCCTTGAGGTATTCCGTCGAAGGAGCAACACCAACACCGAGAATAACCAGGTCCGCATCTAGCCTGGTCCCATCCTTGAGCAGGACTGCACCGACAGCTGATGGGTCCGACTCCGACGGCACAGCCTTGTCCACCGAGGCACCACCGTAGAATTTTACACCTTTGCCTTCTACGATTTTCTTGACACCCGCGCCAACATCTTTGCCAAGGACGCGCTCGAGGGGTACGTTCTCCATGCCGATCACAGACACGGAGTTGTCGGCGGCGGTCGCAACGGCAACTTCCATGCCGATGAAGGAGGATCCGACAATGACAATGTTCTTGCCCTTGCTGCCAATTGAGTCGACAATCTTCTTGACATCGTGGGCATTGCGCAGGGTGAAGATGTTGCTCAGGGTCTTGAACCCTTCGAGCGGCAGCTTTCGCGGCGTCCCTCCAGTCGCGAGGATCAGCTTGCTATAAGCAATCTTGCCACCGCTCTTGGTCTCAACATGGCGATCTGAAAAGTTGACGGCAGTGACTTCGCCCTCGACCCATTGGACGCCGCCAGCATCGAACCAAGCCTTGTCCCTCCACGCGATCTTGCTGGTGTCGGAAATCAGGGCCTTGCTGAGCTTTGGACGGTCAATGGGCAGGTATCCCTCGTTGCTGATGACGGTGAGAGCGCCCTTGTAGCCCTTCTCTCTCAGCCCTTCGACTGCACCCAGGGCGCCGGAGCCTCCTCCCACAACGACGATGGGATCTTCCTGTGCACCGCCCGGGGCGGCACTGCATTTGAAGTTGGGGCTCCTGCGGGAGCTCTTGATCGCGGACTCTTCGCCCGTGATGTACACTGCGCCGTCTCTCTCGGCGACATCAAATACAGGGAGAGCGTCAAGAGCCGGCGCATCCTCGACATCACCAGTCTTTGCATTGAAGCAAGCTGCCAAAGGGTTAGCTATCTGTTCCACTCGAAGTCACACTCAAATGGGGTAGATTGGCCAAACATACCTCCGTGCCATGGGCATCTCAAATAGCCAGACTTGGTCAGCACGCCCTTGGCCATGGGAGCACCATAATGGGTGCACTTCGCACCGACGGCCTGCACTGTACCAGCCGCATTGAGGAGGACAACCTTGCCATTCTCGACGCCTTCGACCTCGACCTCTTGCTTATCGCCGAGGGAGAGGGCGAGGGACGTGACGCCCTTGAGCTTGTATTCCTTGGGTGACATGGCTCTTAAACTTGCTGTGAAATGCCTGGCCGGGACCTGCGTGCAATACTTGGGCTTCAGAGGGCCGGAGGAGAGTATAAATCTCTGGAGGCGATGCATGGGGGGAGGGAGGAGGAGGAGGAAGAGCAGGGCGCGGGGGTACGGCTTTGCCTGGCGTCAGGAGGGTAAGCCGGCGGGTAATGGAACCGCTTGTAGGACGCCCATGATGGCGCGAACAGATACACACGGGGGCTTCTATAGGCCCAGATAGGCGGGTGCGCAGGAGACGGGGAAGAATCCATGATTTCATGGTGATGTACTGGGTTGACAAGTGCAGCAGTGGTGTTGAGGGGAGGACCGATTGGGACTAGTTTCATTGCCGCTTGAAGTTGACTGAATACCGCTTAGTTATCCTGACTTGGGCCGTGTATTACTTTTATGCATATGCATAATTCTGCTCGCGGCCCAGACGCTCTCGATGTTGCAAAAATGAAGGCGCTTCTCTTGGTATGGTAGATCCCTAACGAGTCTTTCATCCTCGCAGCAAAATAACAAGATGCAAGCCTTATGTTGAAGAGCAAATATTGTAAGAAAGGGCAAAAAAATTGACAAGTGTGGGGTTCGAACCCACGCATCTCTCGATAATGGTGTTGAGTATAAGAACTTAAGACCACCGCATTAGACCACTCTGCCAACTTGCCAAACTCGAACAGGGGTAGCTTTAAGAAAATATAAAGTGCTCCATAGACTGGCAGCAGGTGAATTGCCGGACAGGTGCTGTGACGCATGTATTTCTCTTGGGAAAGGATACCAACTTGATTCTGATTCTTTGCTAATTTCGAGGTCGGGTCTTTTAATAATCATTTAGAAATAGTCGTTGAAACTTCATACTTGATATAGTTCCTCGGTTTCATAGTGAAGCGAAACGGTAATAGTGAACATGGCTCTGGACGGTGAACAGTATTGGGCACAGAAGGCCAACAGTATGACTAGTATTTGAGAGCAAAGAAAAACCGTAACCCTGATACAAACAAGAAGTTGAAACTGTTATTACGCTACTCTCTATTTCCCCAGTCTTGAGGTTGGGCTGAGTATTCAAGACCATGCTTCCATCTATTCATCACAAGTATGGCCTGGAAGTAAATACTCATACTTCACACTGACACTGGCAACTTTAAGGTAATTATTAAACAAAGGAACTGGAATTTATTGGTGCTCAGACTAGAGGGATTGTCGAGTCATAGGCTGTCGAACTGCCAGCCAGTGGAAATCGGTGGCGGCCCGGCCCGGTATGAGCGGGCACTGATGCAGCAGATACCCACACCTGCAGCCGAGGGCTTGTTCAGTATTGGAGGAGTAGCAAAATCCGGTGAAGGAATGGATGGCTGGGAGCGCGACCAAGTGCGGGGGATGGTCATCGGAGGGTCTGCCCAATGACCGTGTCCAGCACCCTCAAGCGAAAACCCCATGTTACTTTTGCCCCTGGTTACGAATAAAATCGTCGGCGTTTGGGAAGAAAAGCCATGGATATTCCCACTGAAATGATATCATTGGGCCGATGGGCAAGAAAACGGGACAAGGTGACAGAAAATTCGCGAGGTTGATCGGGCAGTAAAATGGCGGCGCCTGATGCACAGTCGATGTGGCATGCCGTGACTGGTAACATGCCAAGCGGGTTGCACCCAAGCAGATGATCGGGCGTGGACTCTGATAAGCATGGCATGGACGTACATGCCGACCACATACATACATGTGCTCCTTCATGTTGCATTGGTAGTCCCCTCGCCAATCCCGCCATCGAAAACCTATCTTCACCCATTGTCGCCCTCGTGCTGTGTAACCCTAATTACCAGGTCAAGAGATGCAAATGTCGGTCGTCGGGGATCCATGGACGGTGCCCATCGCCCCGACCCTGACGCGGAAGCAGCGGAGGGTCGAGCTTATGCGATCGGTACGAAGGTAAGGGAGACCGGAGCTGCATTTTTGCTTTCTGTGTTGCCGTCATGTTTGAAGTCGCGGGTGGTCTGACCTTGCTCGTTTCTCCTCCAGTCTCTTCTTTACCGGCGACTACTCCGACTGCACAATAATCTGCGGCAATTATGAGCTCCGCATGCACAAGTCCATCATATGCCCGCGCTCGCGTGTTTTTGCCGCCATGTTCACCCACGGGCTTAAGGTAGCTGCTTCTCGCATCAATACTCAAGACAGACTGAATGACGGCTCACCGACTCTAGGAAATAGAAACAGGGGTCGCAAGACTTGACGATGAGGACCCAGAGGCGGTTCGCTCTCTTCTGTACTACATGTACCACTTGGATTACCCTTGCAGAGACTCGTCGGGCCTTGTCAAGGCGAACGACGGCGAATCGGAGGTCGGAGCCCCGGACCCCCTCATGTCCCCAAGAAGCGAGTCGGTGATGTACCCTGACGCACCCAATCTCATCCACCATTGCCGTGTCTACGTTCTAGCCGACAAGTTTGACGTCGGCTCATTGAAATCTCTTGCCGCGGAGAAGTTCGAGGAGGAGGCTATCAATTACTGGGACCACCCGCTGTTTATCGAGGCTGCCCGAGAGGTGTACGCGACGTCGCCGACAAGCGATCTGGGTTTGCGGAGTGTGGTAGTTACAACTCTCCAAAGCCATCACCAGCTGCTCGATACTCCAGGCGTGCAGGGGCTGTTGAGAGAGTCGCAGCTTGCTTTCGATTTACTTATGGACTCGCGCCGAAAAGGAGGTCTTTATCAATTTTGAGAGGCGGAGAGGTGGAGAAAGGAGAGGACTCGGGATCTGTCTTGTCTTGGAGGGAAATTTCGTTATCTGAACGCTGAATTATTGTCGTCTTCCTTTTGTTCTTGTATAAATCGGTATCTGCGGGATGCCAAAGACTAGTATATATGTTTGTTGCGTGGTGCCTGCCCCAGGTATGCTAGATACTCACATTCTTTCCAATAGCTGCGAAGGGGGGATTCGTTAGATTAGGAAAAAGACTATGGATTTCTTCGATGGGAGGATGTTGTTTGCTTTTCGTCTTGATAAAGTGACGTTGAAGTGGGTATGTTAGTAGTAGTGGATGTCCGAGAAGGAGAAGCAAACAAGTCGTAGTTGCCTTAGCTCATTGAGCTCATTGAAGGAGAAAGGCCGATATCAAACAGGAAGGCACGTACCGGTGAATTGCGCATTGCTCGCCTCAGGCAGCAACCTCGAGCACCCTGAACTTGAGAACTGAACCATGATTTTGTTTTCATCCACCGTCCAAAGCATCCTCCTCTCATTACTTCTTCACTCTCGTTGCTTCTTCTATCTCAACATCATCCAGGCTCGCGTTACACCTCTTCTTCATCAACATCCCACTCATTAGCCAGAATCCTAGACTTATCTAAGATGGCTTATTGCGCGCCGTGCGGCAGAAGTTTTACCCATCACGGCGCCCTTACACAGCATATTGATGACAGCGAGATACATCGGGTGAATCTCGCTAGGTACTGCAGCATATGCAATCTTCTTTTCGCCGACGCTTCAGCTCTTCGAGACCATCGCTCGAGAGCACACGCAGTCCAGCAAGCATACTGCCGACCATGCGCTCGTTATTTCGCTGATAATGCTGCTCTCCAGAATCACCTTCAGTTTTCGAGCGCCCACGGACCCTCCGAACCGTATTGCCGGACCTGCAATCGTTATTTTGTCGACAATGTCGCCCTTCAACAACACTACGATTACTCGACGGCGCACCTTGATGACTCTGATTACTCTGATGAGTCTGATGATGAAGGGGAACCTTATTGTACGACATGCGATCGGTATTTCGTCAATGACGAAGCTCTCGAACAACATCTCGATACCTCCGGTGCCCATAACTTCTTCAATGCACCAAGTGCCTACAGTATTCCACCGAGAAGTAGTCAGTCAACTTTGTTCAGTGGACAACCAGCATCCAGTGTTCAACAACCAGCCCCAAATTCAGTACCCCGTGTTCACCAACCAGCCTCGAGCTCAGTACCAAAAGCTCCACAACCAGCCTCGAGTTCAGTACCAAAAGCTCCAAAACCAGCCTCGAGTGTAGTGCCGAATGTTCGACAACCAGCCTCAAGCTCGGTACCCAGTCAGGCTAGTCCTGTGGTCTCGAAGAAGGAGAATGTCCAAACTCATCTGAACACTTCGAAAAGCCCAGACCCTCCAAAGCCTTCACCAACCTCCGATAAACCTCTGAAAAGCCTAGATCTTAATGTCCTTGGGAGTCGAGAATATTCAACAACCGGAAAAGAAAGGGAAAATATTCCAGATGGTTTCAAAAAGCCCGACGCCTCCGAAGTTGCTCAAAGTTCTGGAATCGACAAGACTTGGACAGTGCCCTTGGCCGAAGCAATTGCAAAATGCCTAGAGAGAGAGTTTCCCCATCTGAGAGACTTGGATGGCTCAATGGTTGCACAGGCTCTAGCAAAGGACCCTGATGAGTCTTCTGGCCTGGCAGCTTCGAAGCCCGCAAACAACAAGACAACACCAGCAGAATCCTCGGGTGTTTTGAAGCAGAAAGATCCTCCTGCAAGTACAGAATCTCCAACAGCTGGCCAAGAAAGCCAGAAAGCCTCGATCTGTCCCCCAACTTTGGACCACAACGCGGCCTCACCAACTACATCAGTTCTTGGAATCCAGGAGAGCCTCGGACAAGACTTGCCGTGTTGCTCGTGCAATCTGTCATTTAAAACTGAAGAAGCCATTTCAGTCCATATTCGTGATACCCCGGATCACCATATTTGCGTTCTCTGTTCCAAAGTGACCCAATTTGGAACGACCAAGCTGTTAGAGCAGCATCAAGTCTCGAGCCATGGCCTCTGCACCCTGTGCAACGAGTTTTTTGGGAACTCTTGTAATCTTTTCGAGCATGACATCTTGGATCACAATCTTTGTAAAGCGTGCAAGAATTACTTTATAACCAAAGATGAATTGCATCAGGTAATCATTCCCACACCGACATGTCTCATGCCAAATGGCGATAGCCCCTAGCTAACACTCCTCCAAGCATATCGAAGAGTTTCACCCAAACCATGAATGTGCCGGATGCAAAGAATTCTTTGAATCCGCCTCATGCATGGTCCGTCATCTTGAGTTAGGTTCGTGCACCATCTCTAGAGATAAGTTGCGAGTAAAGGACGCCGCATTGGACTGTTTGAGGTCCAATTTTTTTGCGCCCTTGGAGGATCAAGCGTTGCCATTCCAGTGCTTGACATGCGAGGTAGAGTTCCTTGTGGTGAGCGAACTTGTCCAGCACGTGGAGTCCAGTGCTTGTGAAGAGACCATGGCCATGAATCGGCCAGTGGGTATGATTCTTCACCACATTCAATCTCTCACTAGATTGTGGGAGAAATAAGCCCGGCCATGGTTTCATTACCTGTGAATACCAACAATGGCATAACGCTGAGGCATTCTTGAAGGAACAGGTGAAGATTGGCAGGAAATATATACTTGAAGTCGAATGGCTGCTGTATGAGTATGCAACGCCTGTCCTACTCGCAACTATGCTTTGGTATAAAGCTTTTGATAATGTCACCCAGAAAAATGTGTTATAGCTAGAGCTCTTGTATATCCTGTAACATTATTGGCACGAATCCGCGCGTTCCATAGACAATTCAAACCTCTTCATGACTCTACTTATACATCATTCGGGCAGAGTTATGCAACTCTGGGTAGCATTTATGCAGACATGCTGCATCTGCATCAATGAGCGGGGCATTTCTATGCAGGCGTGTTAAAGCAGCACTGAAGTGGGATGGAACGGGGCGCAGGCTTGGTAACGTGATGCTGCTGATTGGACAAAGCTGCCCAAGAGCCCACAAGATACGTCAGTCAGTCTTGGGCTTAGCGGAGGACGATGAGCTTGTAATGGATGACGAATATCCGGCGTATGAATGCAAAGCTGGTTTGATTGGCTCTGGATGGCCAGGAGAGGAGAGTTTAGACCTGTCCCGTCGGTCTTGTGCGGGTTTCGTCTGTGCCGCCCCCGGTTGTGGCTCCAATTCGCGCAGTGTGGGCGTCATGAAGCCATGTCCAGAAATGAGGAGTGCCCCAGACGGACGGGCTAAACATGGGATTGTTGTTTCAGGGATCGCGGTTGCTTGGTAATATCGACTGGCCCGCGGGGAGCTTCCGGATCGACACAGCCTCCTCGTCTCCGCCGTGTTATCTGTTTGGTTCTAAAAAAAGCCAAGTATTACCTACGTATCTATTATCTATTACTCGGAAGTTGGTGCTTTGTTTTTGTATTAGTTGGGTATCGCTGATGCGGGTCAGACATAGGTAGGTAGTGCTGAGCATGGCCGTTGCCTAGGCCTCTTTCTTATGGAGATGATTTCATGACTGACGGTCGATGAACTCAGTGTACGGAGCTGAGTATTGCTATCGACCTCTCCAGGTTCTAGAGAGCTTGGTCCTTGGGGCTGTGACTTAGATTGATGACCGATTGGTAGATAAATTATTGTTGAAAGAGCGAATAACACACGATTTTGGTTGAGCTGCGATCGGCCAAATTAGAAAGGAGTTTGAGGTTCAGAGGATTCTAAGGGAGGGAATATTTGGACATAGAAGTAGGTATACGGAGCAAAGGAAATAGTTAGAAGAGCCTTTCTCGCTCCTCTAGATAATCTACCACCTCGCCGTCTGTTACAGGCTACACCTACGAAGAGCTCCGCTAGGGTTACGTGGCCTCACAAGAGGGATCCCGGTCACTCGATGATTCCTAGACCCTGGGATTACTCAAGCAGGAAGCACTATAAAAGCCGCTATCTCGCTGCTTCCTCTCAAAGGAAACCCTTCTTTCTTTTGTATCTAGAGATAGACTTAATTCATTGCCTCCTTGGTTGAACAGGCCCGGAGAGCACTCCTTAACACCGTCCATTCTACTCGGCGCTGAGAGTGGCATCAAGGAGGAGGGTGTCCATTGAGTGACAGAAGAAAGGACATATCGAAATAAAACGTTGTTATTGGCAGGCCCTTTTTGCTGATGATTTGGACAACAAAGTGATCTGAAGCAACATACATAGACAGTAATCAGTACATTATCCCCTGGAATTTATTATGTATTATTAGCCCTTGGTATTGTAGGAACACTGCTCGCAGACTTGACAATAAATAGTATATTGTTTGAGTGTCTCAAATTCAATGTCACCCTCTTGGGTGTCTGCGGGTAATTTAGGCTGAGTAAGGCAATCCAGGGTGCCGTGCGGCTCCTAATATGTAGGGCAGGCGAACCATCGCGAGGCGGAGAGGGTGAACTTTTGTTAATCCCTCAATACGCAGCACTAAATCTCTTATTTCTTCGTGCCACTATTGTCGTGCAACGGAGAAGCTGAGAGTTTCAGACAGTTGGTGCTAGAGACATCAAAGGACCTAGATTGCCCTTCAAAATCTCTTCGCTAGATGCTCTCTTAATTGTCTCAAGGTAGGTGAGTTTAGAATGCCATCTACAAATAAGCTTGAATGGGTAGACTAATTTAAGTTTGAATAGTTTGGAGAAACAAGGATGGGGAGTATCGAAGAGGCAGGCCAAAGTGCACTTCATGATTCTGGTGCGGCTTTGGGAGACAGCCTGGACGATGCAAAATGGCTAAACTTCCTTGGAGATCAGCTATTTATCAGATACGAGAGGACTGGAGTAATATCTGACCTGGAGAAATCCATCCGAGTTGCGCAGAGGGCTCTCCGAGTTACGCCAGAAGATGATCCGGAATACATAGGATTACTATATCGTCTCGGGATCCAACTCGGGTGGAGATACCACAGGATTGGAGAAATCGAAGATGGCGAAGAGAGTATCCGCATCATACGACTTGCCATCGACAACATATCGTATAAACCAAGCTATTTTTGTTGGCTGTTATATAGACTTGGAGTTGCCTTGCGGGATAAGTTCTTCAGAACTCGAGATATAGCCGACCTTGAAGAAGCCATTCAAGCCACACGGCACGCTATCCACGAAATATCGCATGACAACCCCATATACGAGATACCACAAGACAGCCCTATTTACTTTAAATGGGTTTATACTCTCGGAGGCCAACTTGATGATAAATACGATATAACGGGGGCTCTGCCTGACCTTCAGGAGGCGATTAAGTTTACACTACAAGCTGTCAGTAAAACTCCAAGGGAACACTCAGCTTATGGAGAAGGACTGAATTCTCTTGGAATTCGATTTCGTGCCAAGTACTTGCGGACTAAGGAACTTGATGATGTTGAAGAGGGTATCGACTTTATGCAAGAGGCGATCAGTTCTACGCCAGAAGATGATCCCCAGCGTGCGAAGCGTTTACGGGCTCTTGCAACTCTCCTTGGTGATCGATACGATATGGAAAGGGACGTAACTGATCTCGAAGAAGCTATCCGACTTCTACGGCTGGCCAACGATTTGACAACAGAACATGATCTAGATTATGCAGGATTGTTAGACGATCTCAGCAAGGGACTGCGGGTATTGTTTTTCAAGGCTGGGAACATGGCGGACCTAGAGGGGGCTATCCAAGCCTCGCGACAGGCCGTAAACATAGGACCGGAAGATCATTCCGAACGTGCAGCATGGCTGGTCAATCTTGGGAGGGGTCTTTATGCTAGAGCAGCAAGAACTGAGGAGCTTCCCCATGTTGATGAAGCCATCCAAGCCGTGCGACAAGCTATCGAAATAGCGCCAGAAGACTCCCCGGACCTTCCAAAGTGGCTACATGATCTCGGAAAAGGTCTTAGGCTAAGATATCTTCGAACGAATGCTTCAGAAGATATTGGAGAAGCCATCAATGTATTGCGGCAGGCTTCCAAGTCATTCCCAAGCGAGGACATGACCTATACAGAGTTTCTGAACAGTTTTGGAATGAGTCTTGCCGAAAGAGGGTTAAGAACTGGCTTGGTATCTGATCTCAACGAGACTATCAAGGTTCTGCAACAGGCTCTGGAGGTTACCCCAGAGGGCGACGCAGACCATCTAGTGCTTTTATCTAATCTTGCAAATGTACTCTACGAGAGATATTTACAGACTGAAGCCATGGTTGATCTTGAAGGATATATGCAGCTCACCCAGCGCGCTATGAATATAGTTCCAAAAGAGAGCCCAGATCATCCACAGTGGTTGAACAGGGCTGGGGTTGGGCTGGGAGACAAGTTCCAAAGGACAAAACTAGCGGCAGACCTTGATATGGCCATCGAATTTATACGGCAGGCTGTGAAAACAAGTCAAGAAGACCACCTACTTCGGGGGGAGTGGTTGAACAATCTCGCAGTCCGCCTTGGCACTAGGTATTCGATTAATGGAGACATAGCTGACCTTGAAGAGGCTATAAAGGCCAGCCAAGAGGTCGTCTCTATTACTCCAGAAGAACACCCAAACTACCCGAGGTGGTTAAACAACCTTGGAAACCGGCTGTTGGAACGCTACCTGTACGGCGGAGATGTCGCCGATCTTGACAAGTCCATCGATTTAGGACGGCAGGCTATCGAGATCACCCCGAAAGACCACCCGGACAATGGAGGACTGTTGATGAATTACGTGGACGCCTTGATGACGAAACTCAGTTTGGAAAGCAACGTGGATGACACGGATGAGATGATATCAAACTGCGAATATGCTTTACGTCAGTCGAGTTTCTACATTGATGATCGGATACGGGCAGGCGACAGACTCCTTGACTTACACTCGATGACTGAGAATTGGGACCGAGCGTTCGAAGCCTCTGAACTTGTGAATTCTCTGATTCCTAGGCTGGCATCGCGACATCTTGAGAATGCTGATAGACAGCATCGGCTTCGCCAGGCAGTGGGACTTGCGTCTGATACCGCAGCAGTGGCAATGCATGCCAATAAATCGCCATTAACTGCATTGAATTTTCTTGAAAACGGTCGCGGTGTGCTTGCCACATCGCTAGAGGATATGCGTATAGATATCGTGGAGCTGCAGGAGAGGCACCCAGATATGGCAGAGCAATTTATCGACCTTCGTGATGAGCTGGAGAAACCACCATCACAAACCAACTCTTCCACCAAACAGCAAGACACTAAAAAGGAAGATGCTCAAAGTTCCTGGAGACCAGAGGCGACTCGGCGTCACGATACCGGCGACAAACTCAACCAGCTGATCATGGAAATCCGCAAACGGCCAGGGTTTGAACAGTTCCTACTCCCGCCAACTGAGTCAGATATTCACGCTGCGGCTAGCCATGGACCGATTGTTGTCATCAATGTGAGCAAGCATCGTTGTGATGCGATCTTAGTTGAAAGTCAGAGGATCCGGTCACTGCAACTGAAGGGGCTTGAAAGAGACGATATTGAAGATAAAAGTCGACGAGGAAGTCTAGGAGCTCCTGAAATACTAGAGTGGCTATGGGATTATATCGCAAGTCCGATTCTGGACGCCTTGACATTTACTCAGCCGCCGTCTGACAACAACTGGCTTCATATATGGTGGATTCCCACAGGCCCTCTGAGCAAATTTCCGCTCCATGCTGCAGGGCGCCACGAAGAAAGCTCTGGCGACACAGTTATCGACAGGGTCATGTCTTCTTATAGCCCCTCTATAAAGGCCATCATAAACGGTCGTCGTCGCAGTGACCAAATGGCTACCCAGATGGGCTCGTCTCTTCTTGTGTCCATGGAGCACACGCCGGGTTATTCCGACCTCCCATATGCTACTGACGAGATAGAGATGTTACATGATCTTCATCAGTCGCTGGCACTGAACCCTCTTGAGCCTGGCCGCCGTTACCAGGACATCACGTCTCATCTGCCCGATTGTAGGATATTTCACTTTGCCGGACATGGACTTTCACATCCAGATGACCCATCGAAGAGTGAGCTACTTGTGGAGGACCGAAATACCAATCCACTGACGGTAGCCACTCTTCTTGAGATGAACCTCCGCCAAAATCCACCCTTTCTTGCGTATTTGTCGGCGTGCGGGACCGGTCGAATCAGGGACGCGAGTTTCGTCGATGAGAGCATCCATCTCATCAGTGGTTTTCAGCTGGCAGGCTTTCGGCATGTCATTGGTACCTTGTGGGAAGTCAATGATGAGATTTGCGTGGATATGGCTAGACTTACATATGAGGGGATCCGAGACGGAGGCATGACAGACGACTCAGTCTGTCGAGGCCTTCACTGTGCCAGCCGGGAACTCCGAGATCTTTGGCTTACTTCATCAGCGATACGAGAGGGAAGACTAAAACATGAAGCAGTTCCACTTTCAGCGGCGGATGGGGCAGCTACAGAGGAGGAGAATGAGAGGGGCCATAGGCTGGAAAGGGATATTTCTTTGGACGAGAGGGCAGAGGCACATTGGATTCCGTATGTTCACTTTGGTGTTTGATTGTTCTTACAAGGCCTGCATATTCAATGTATCTGAAAAATCGTCTTGAAGTCTAAACTCGAAACTTATTTGCCCTATAATGTCTATGTTTTATCTTCATTCTAATTTCCTAGCTTGCGGTAGATCATGTCAAACAGCTTCAGATCCTGCGCAGCATCCTCCACCGTTGTCTTGATTGGCTTGCCATTGACCAAGGACTCATAAAGCTCCTGGAATTCAGCGGTGTAGCAGTCCTCGTACGAAGAAAGCACAGAGCGTCGTTGAATTTCGCCGTGCTCATTCAATTCTTCGACCTCAACTGTAATAGGAAGACCCTTTACGTATGGGCTGTCGTACTATTACATCCAAGTACATTAGGTTTTGATCCAATTCACATTCAAAAATAGCAATAGTGAAGAGAGGGCAACATACCTTGATGCTAACTCTCTTGGTACTACCGTAGACAGCGATGTGCGCATCAAAGCTGGGGACGGAGTCAATCCCACTCTCGTACGTAACCGAGTACGGGGACCCATCGCTGTTTCGGGAAAGAAAGAATGGCGTTATAGAAAGGATCATTGGCCGAAGCACCAAGAACTGCCTCGGGGAACCCAAGGGTCTCGCGCATAAGTGAGAGATCATGAGATCCAAGACTGCCGAGGAAGCGACATAGCCTGCGCTTCTCGTCGGTAATCTCCTGCCCGTGGAAAGCTTCCTTGAACAGACTCTCAAAGCGCTGAATGCGTTCCTCATTTGTACCTGGTGGGAAATCGGTGCCCTTCACCTGGAACGTGCCACTCTGGTTGACGAACTGAGCGTTGGGACCGCTAAAGTCGCGCACTCGGGCATAGAGGATCTTGGGGATCCTTGCAATCTCCCTCTTAAAAGCATTTACGTAGCTGGGGGCATAACGACGCATGTATCCAACGAATGCCTTGGCCTTGCTCTCGTTCTGGGCAGCAAGGATCCGGTCCGCAGAGGGTATGGAGAGGGTCATGGGCTTCTCGACGAAGACATGCTTATTGGCCTTGAGAGAAGCAATTGCAAGAGCTTCATGGCTATCATCCGAGGTGAGGATGAAGACGACATCTACCTTGGGATGTTCGATGACCTCCTGAGGCTCCGAAGTCTTGTGGGGGATGTGAAATTTTGTTGCACTGTGATTCAGTTGCGTCTGGGAGATATCACAGATGGACTCGATTTTGTATTGGTGGGAGAGAAGGAAAAGACAAGGTCCATGGCAGACTTGAAACACTTCCTTTGTAACAACAAGTTAGTCAGACGTGGTGTCACTTCCGGTCAAGGCCAAGGGGGTGAGGGGTAGAAAAGAAGAGCATAGCATCATCATTGAGTGATGGATGATCGAAGTGGAGATTCCAACCTACCCCAGCTCCAATAATTCCGACACCCAGGATTCGGGATGAGGACATGATGAATGATATATTTTGTATTGATGGCGTTTTAGATGGAGTTTTAGTCGGTCGTTAGTTCCAGTTCAACATCGGCAGGCTTTATCGTTGGTGATTGAGTCCAAACAGCAATGATGTTAGGATTGGGTTGGAGATGGAAATGATCCGGCGATTGGAGCCGAGCGGAGGCTACTTGTATCCGGTTAGCCTCCGATCCCGCTCTCACTCGACAGGGATAATCCTGAGAGAAGCTAAGTTAGTTCCGGGGAAATCTAGGTTTTGGTTGGCTTCATAGATCCGCTGGAATGGTCCCATGGCGTGTTACAGTTTGTTGGAGCCAGAGGTAGAGACTGCAGTTCATTGGTCTTGTCCATTAGTTTTCCCTCTAAGATATATCTAGGTGTTCATCCCTCCCTCCTCAACCCTCTCTTTCCCCCTTTCTACTCTAATCGACCCCTTAAATCTACCTCCGTGATCTGGTTTCTACCTAGCACTGTAAGAACAAGCCTGTCGACTAACTGAGGAGATGTCTAGGCTGTAGATTCGTCGGACACGATAGCTCTCGAATGAGTTCCATCCGGCAGATACATATCCCGGTATCTGACCTCACGCTTGCCAATCTGCTTGGCAATGTTATCTGCATCGGAAGCCATTGAAACTGCCCCTTTGGTGATGGGTGCCTGAAATGCGGTGGCTATCTCAAGCGGGCTCATTGATACTGGACGACCAAGCCTCCAGAACCCGTGGAATAAGACGACGACTGCCAAGGTGCCGAAAAGAGTGATAGCCAGAGTCCCACCGAAAAACTTCATATTGATCTTGTATTTAGTGACTGTACGCAACTGGCTGCCTTGTACCGTCTGTTGGGCGGAGGGGTCTGAGAACGCTATCGCGGCGCGGAAGGTCACCTCACGGACGGCGTCCAGAATGGCGGGCGTTGGATCGATCCACCTCATGCTTTTACTCCCCAGCTCGACGTCTGTGAAGTTTCTGTAGGTATAAGTCATCGGGCCGGAGCCCATAATGGCTAATTCCGCTGACTTGTAAACTGTCACTTGGCTGTTGTAGATACTGCCTAGTGCATAGGCAATGCCGCCGAAAGCCGACGGCAGTTTGCTAATGCCAACAATTTCCTTGCCTGGGTAGACAAGCTTGGTTGTGCGATTGACCGTTTCGTCGACTGAATAGCTTGCACCTTCCAACGCAATTGTGCCATTGGTGTAACTGAATGGGTATTTCACTTGAGCACTATGTAAGTTGCAGTTGGTGGTGATCAACTTGCCCTTGTCAGCTGAATCTGCTTTGTAGGTAGTCATGACTGTGATTACCCCAGGCTCATTGATAGAGTTGGAAGAGATAGATATAGAACCAATTGTGGCATTTGCCCCGATCTTTAGATTCATATCGTAGTCTTCCCCCCCTCTTGTACAGCTGACATCGAAGCCAGCAGTGACGAAAGTCCCCGAACAGGCTCCGTTGCAACCCTCTAGGGACAATCTAATACTCCTTCGATTTGTAAAGTCCTGCACGACCTGCGAAAAATTGCCTGTCAAGGCATTCACCGATGGAGCGTGGGTCATATAGTAACCCGTAGGTTGACTGAACTGGTCTTGAGACAAGGCCGCCTTGAACGTCGCATCTTCACTCTCGGTGACAGTGATGATTTCTGCAGCCCTCTGTAGAAGCGGGGGGCTGGCGATGAGGAACAGCATGACGATAGATACAAGAGTAACTTTGTTGAAGTGCCGCAACCCTTTGATGGATTGAAAGGCGCTTGATCCGTGTTGCCAGTAGCGGTGGCTATCGTCGAGGTTGCCACCCTTCAGCATCTTAAGCCACCAGGCCAAAGCTGCACCTTCGTTAAAGGCAAGCGTCAAAGATGAATTTGCCAAGGCAATCAATATGGCGAGTATCACGGAAAGCTGGATGGCTCTCGCCTCGCTCGGCCAGGCATCTGTCGCTTTGCCGTCGGCCGTCTTCAGCATGACAATGATAGCTATGGCAGCAAGCACAGTCACCACCAAGCCGAGCATTCCAGCCCAGGGGATGCTCTTGAGAAAACTTGGGTGGTGGACATTTTCTGCAGATTGCTCATGTTGGTGCACCTGAACGGCCTTGGGTGTACCATGAGAAATCAACTGCTGATGTAGCTCGTAGCTTTCATCACGGTGGGGGTCGCCATCGTTTAGGCTGTGAGCACTCCCTGTCCAATTCGAATGACTCGAGAAGGGTTGTTGAACATATCTATTTTCTGGCTGGTGCGCACGCGCGCTATACTCCGAATGGTGGTTGTCGAAATACGTAGCCATCACGATGAAAAGGCTCACAGAAAGGCGTGAAATCTGGTGCCAAAGGATTTTGCTAGCAGCTCCATGGGAATGAATGTTTTCGACGGGCACGAGCTATAACCACCTGACCCCGCCTTGACGGTCAAATCCCACGGCTCTACTGCACGCCCGCCAGTTCATGCCAAAATACCTCTGCAAGGGCATTGGACATGATGGTCGCCTCGACTCCACTGATGTAAGGCGTCCTGACATGGGGATGTTCAGCTGGTACAGAAACGGCAGCTCCGGGGTCAGCCCCGGATTCAGCCCTGGAATGGGTCAAAGAGTAAAATTTAGCATCGACAGACTAGCCAACCTTCTTAGGGCATCTCATCACTGCCATGACACAAGTCGCACGAGTATACAGTATCGTAGAACCTCGTAACTTGAATAGAGGTAGAAGGATACCGTTGTAACTTAAAGCTTAGAGACGTTGAGTTAGTTCTATCTTTAACCAGCGGGGAACGAATCTAGTAAAGGATAACAAGGGAACTTTCTCTCTCCTCGCGTAGTCGCGCTGGCTCTTTGTTGAAATGAAGGAGTAGTGCAAGAGAAAAAGCACCCTGAACCCTCTCCGCCTGAATAACAAAATTAATGGAAGTGGAGTTACGCTGCTGCGAAGGGGATGCTGCTCTAGCAATGTACCTATATTTTCATTATTGAATAGAGAGCAGATGTGATTGGTTTCCTATGCGCTGTAAACATGATCTTAGAAATCCGAGGCTGGTCTGAGGATGAGGTGAAACTGACTGAAGCTGGACTGACTGAAGCTGGGAGCCACACACACTAACGTATGTACGACTTACCGACGAGACTGCTGCCCTTCATGGTATAATTGATTAGCCTTCGTCCTGCGATAAAAGAAGAACGCGCGAGGGCAAACCAAGGGTCGCAAAGATTAATACAATCTACACTTCTGACTGACGTGTGTACTTGATCCGCGTTGGATCTAAAAGGCCCTTGCGGTAACGTTGACTGCGAGGAGGGTGATTCCGACATAGAGAAGTAGAGGAATATTCCATACGCTTTTGTGAGGGTTTTCACCTGGAGAAAAGAGCAACAGCGCTTGCGGGGATCGAACCCGCTGGCCGTAGCCCTGCCAACAAAGCGCTTTTTAGGGCGAACCCAAGGGTTTATAACCCAGATACAGTGATGGACTCACTAAGATACGGTGATGGGCTCACCCAGATACAGTGATGGGCTCACTAAGTAACGGCGATGGGCTCACCCAGATACAGTGATGAGCTCACTAAAATAAAGAAGAAAGATAGGCTTTCGCCCACCAATCTTTAAAGACAGAGTTTCCGCCGCTTAGTTCGAATAGTCGATCTCGTCATCCTTGTCGCTCCCAAAGTTCTTATACTCCAGATACAGTTCGAACTCGACAGTTTTAGTTTGTATCATACTTCATTCTCTTTGTGTGGAGAACCTCGGCGTCGTGAGCATCCTCGGGAGCAGGAGTATCCAGCTTCCTTTTCTTCATGGCGGCATGGGCATCAACCTTCATTTTCTTAGCGGGGAGAACCTCGGCGTCATGAGCATCCTCGGAAGCATGAGCATCCAGCTTCCTTTTGTTCGTGGCGGCATGGGCATCCCCAGTGGCAACCACAGCGGCAGGGGCATTCTCTGGGGTGATGGCAGGGAGAAGAGCGGCTTCGGCGGTAGTATTGCCGGCAGTTGGGGTGGGAACCGCAGGTGATGCGGCAGTCGAAGGACCCGTTATTGTAACCGTCCAACCACCCGGTCCTGAAAACGTAGCAGTCGTCAAAGGACTCGCTACAGAAGGCGCGGTTGTCGACGCCTCTCCAGAATCAGCAGACCTGATTCGTTTCCCAGAGGAGCCTGATGTATTCTGTTTTTGCATTAGTAGCGTTCGCCACAGTAGACAAGGGAGAGTGGTAGAGTTTCAAGACTGACTGCCACTCTGGATGCTCGATCGATGCCAAGCTGAGACCCTTCGAGTTCCTAACTCTCGAGCTCAGACAAGGCTTGTCGGCACTGATCTCGTTGGTTGAATCCGACCATTACCCAGCCCAAATGACGGGCGGGGTTTGGCAACTTGGCCTTGTCGACTGGCGGCCAGAAGATACGAGGCGAGTCGGAGTTGCTCAGCTTCTCCCGAAGTGCGCTTTCGAACGCATTGCGGGTGACTTTGAATGGGATCTTGTTGATCCGAATCAGTTTCCGAGTAGTACGGAAGGTTTTCAGCTGGTCTTCGTAGGCTGACTTTTCTTGTTCCATTCTTCTAGGCCGATTAGCATCAGGGTCTACCGGGTCATTGGCCATATTCGTACTTAGCGCGTTGGAGAAGCTTATGTATTCGGTTTGGTTGATGAAAGTTTGTAGAAGTGACAACTTTGTGTTGGTTTTGGTGCAGATGGTAGAAGATGGAAGCGCGCTAGGACCACTTGGTTCTCCAGTTTTCGAATGGAGCGTGGATTTACACACCAAAGTCACGTGATATTACGCAGAGAGTGTTGGGGCTTGGCAGTGCATGTCAAGAGTTTCAACAGTCCTACCACGCGAATACATGGAGAAGCCACGAACATAGGTCACATATATGAGATCCTCCCAGGTACGCTAGCTCATGGGACGATTTATGGACACGGACGTGATAACAGTATCCTACTCAGAGGTCAGATCCGTGGCAGCTCGACCGCTCTAGACCAGCGATCCCATCTTCGACTTGGGCAACTATACCGACGGACTAGCCCTAGCAACGAAAGACAGGAATGAGTATCATTTTCTGCGATCTCTCGGATATGGAATCAAGCGCGCCGCAGTGTTTTAGAGTCAATACATCACGGACATGGAGAAAAGGGTCGCGGATGCATCTCCAGCTCAGCCATCGAGAGACAATGGTGTCGTTCATATGCGTAAAGTGATCGACGAAGCAGTCAAAGCAGCTCACTGACTACAGATAATAACTAGGGGCAATTATGCGTCGTTTTTCGTTACACATTCAAATCCCTCGACTCAGTCAAACTGTTTACAAGTCTTGGTGGGCTTCAGTCATTTCACTTTCTTAGGTAGGTACATATTTTACCTATAAATTCATCTAATATACGATACTACTTTGGCATGACCTAGCCACAATAGATCAATGCATCTTAAACTAATAGAATCTTAAGTCACCTGAATTAGACAGATATCCCCTGGCTGTTATTGGAGCCGCCACCTACTGTATACGTGCCCGACAACTTCGATGCCTCTAGGAAGTTGGTGGGTACATACGTCTGGGTGGTACTTACATCTTGGCTAAAAAACTTCTTTAAGACTGGTGACCTCTAGTTTTTTGTAGATGTAGTACCAACACAGAGGATGATGAAATTATATTTCCTATTCAACAAGGGATTGGGCCCATTCAGATGCTTGAGTAGCAGCGTGTTGGGTAGAAGGCTGTGGAAGAACGAGTAGATGATACCAATGCACAACCACAGAGTTGGAGTATGCTCGCTAAGGGGTGGAATAGCTACTAGCACTTTGAATGATCAGAGCATTAAGTCGGTCCACTCACTCATCCACTTCTCCTCTGAGAAATAGATATTCAAACTCTCTAAAGAGTGATCTATTTGCCATTTTGTCCCAAAGTGATAGAAGTCTGAGTTACAACATTAGAAAACCGCAAATCGCCTCATGGACAAGAAACTAGGGAGAGTAATGAACCCGTACCTTTCATCTAAATGGCACAATCTCTGTGACGTCTCGGAGAAAGATTGTATATTCTATGCCAAATTTTGACTTGGGTTGGTTGGCTTCACTCTCCCCGGAAATATCCTGCTCCGCAAGCCTTTGGGGCTCGTGACTGTCATCAGCTGTTCCTTGCAAATCAGCAAAATCGCCCGAAAGATATATGTACGATGCTAGGCCCACAAAGTTAGCTAAATGCTGCAATTGTGGTCCAGTCGTTCTGGCATTCTACCTACCGGTGTTGCCTTGCTCATCAGGTTAATTAGGTAACTTCCGCACATAACTAACTCCCTGAAATGCTCGACCTGGTATCCTTCTCAGTCCTCTGTCCGGTTGTTCAAATCAAGCAAAAATGGTTTCAAGAGGACTCTTTCTTTGGCTTGTGCGATGTCTGTTTGGACCGACTTAACAGCGTTTGCGGCGAACATCAGATCGATGAGTACTAGGCCCGTGCTCTTGCGCCCTCGTTTTTGGAAAAGTGTCACTAATGACTGCGGGAATTAGCTGGGGGTTTAAGAGAAGTAAGTCGAGTAAAGTATACCTCAATGAATTTTTCGTACTCATCTAGGTGCAAAATAGGAAGACCCGAAAGTGCCATCAACTGCTGCAGGGCGAAAACATGCGGCTCGGACAGGTTCTTGTTCCGTCTTGCCATCTTAGCACGTAATATGGCTTCCCTTTCAGGGCTGGGTGAATCATACACCTGAAAATCTTTGCTGATTCGCGTCAAGAGAGTAAACGGAATGTTCCATCGTTGCTCGAAGGGATCTTTCAAGACCTGGGTCTCAATTGCAACCAAAACTTCAACCTGCCAATCCACAATACTACAAATCGGACCAAACACGATTTGTGACTCGATATCATTGAAGAGCTCATAGCCCATCTTGGATTTTATGGCCAACAGGTACCTCATCTGTTCGAAGAAACCCCGTTCAGTGGCTAGGAAATCATACACGGTGGCTCTCAAATCCTTGAATGTATCACCGTACCAAGGTATCTGTGCATCCAGACATTCGTTCTTTAGAATGTTTCGTTTGACAAGTTCTCCCAAAATTGATTCCAGGGTCTCTACGACCTATAAGCTAGTCAGTATACTCAAATCGCAGAAGGACGCTGGGTATGAGCAAGACACTGAAATACCTTGAAAAATCCAACATAGCTATCCTCTGTCAGGTCCAGTATTGTGAAAGCCTTCGTTGAGCCAAGATTCAAGGTATCGAAAGCAGCAATAAACTTATGAAGAGCAACGTTATCGTGCAACTTTATGTTAGAATAGCGCCGGAGACCATAGAAGCCTGGGCGCAGCTTGTTGATTAAGGCCAACAAACACGTCCCCTTTTGGCACACGTGCTTCAAATCTCTAAGGGGATTCTCTGGCTCATTTTGATAGAGAACATCCACTTCTTGAAACTCCTCTCGGAATTCTGGTAGCTGAAGGAGCATTTTCCGTATACGGTGGCAATCCTGTATAATTGACGTATTCTCTGCCGACCGCTTACTCCCGTTAAGTTCAGGGCAAGTAACATCCACGCTGAGGCAAAAGCTATAGTGATGACGATTGGATACATCCTCTGCAAATATAGGCAATGCGATGACAGAAATGTTGGACACTTTACTCAGACTAATTCCAGAGAGCATGGAGCCTACAGTCGAACGAGCCATGGAACTTCTAAATGAAAAGTCCATAGACGTACGTTTAGCCCGACCGTATACTCTCGAGGATTCGAGGTCTGCTTCGAAATCGGAGAATGAGACGGGTGGTGCTCTAGCTGCGGATGCCTCCGGGATCGTTGGGAGTGCATCTTCCGCGGGGTCCGTATCGTGACCCGCCACGTCCGTATGTTGCAAATTAATGAGGCCCTCTAGCATCATCATACGTCTAGCTAGGTCCTGATTTCCCTCCAACAGCTTATCGATGCTTCTTGTGAGGTCTACTCGATGCTGCTCAGCTTGCTGGTTGGACTCGCTGCATGGCATAGATCAGCCAGGGAATGGGAAACGACAACGAACCAGCTATTATAATCATACTCACCAGTTTAATAGATTCAAAATCAAGCTTGTAGATGATTTAAAACCCTGAACCCTCGTCAAGAGGGAAAGCATCTTGCTCTCCTTGTGGGCCCATATCAGTCGTGACCACAAGGGGATCGAATCCGCTGGCAACTCGGTCCGTAGCTCGCCAACTGCTTCCTCCAGATCTGAATAAACTAGCACTCCATCGGTTAAGATGGCAACGACATCGTCAACCTGAATGAGGGAGGTGTTTTTCGCAAGGCTCAGATTGTTGATCAGGCGCTGCACCGCTGAGAGAATGGTCTGCGTGCTTTCCACTTCCGCATATACCTGCAGGGCAATTTGAGGCACCGTCTCGGAGACGGCAGAGATATACGGCTTTAGGATCTTAGCCACTTCTCCAGCGGCTGTGGTCAAGCCTGCAATTGATGCTGCGACACTGAGAGGATCCATGGTAGCCAGCGTGTCTGCGAAGATTGAACAGCCAGCCCTAGATCATATCGCATCTGAGCTGAGATGTGCAATGCCTGGAGGATGTCTGTTCACGTGCGTGAGAGAGTTCGATTATGAAGTTGAACAGCAATGGAAGATGCCAGAGCCTGACATCTCAACACAATGAATGATGTCTGTTCACAGCGGGGCTGGAAGGCAACCTGCAAGGCAGATTGCGGCTGACCACCCTGCCTGTTGCTTGCGCCTCACCCCTAGCATCAATAACTCGGAACAGCAGATCTTGACCTTGAGAGCTGGAACCGGGCCAATGATTACAATGACCAAACATGTAGGATAACTCTTAGCTTTGTTATTATTCTAGGTCAGAGTGTGAATCTGAAATGGTGTGCCAAGATCCATTCTTGATGATGACATATTCTTACTTTTCTTCCTAACTACATATGCAAATACGCAAACAAGATTCGAGCCTGTTGCCGGGATTCTGCGCTATCCGTCGGAGATACCGAGCATAAGCCTACGCTCAACAGAGAAACCCAAGTCTACCAGGCGATGAGATAACCAATTTTCACGGAGGCCTTCAAGCCTCACGAGTATGATATTATTGTGAAGATTCACCCACCAAGACTGGCGGGCGGGACTTTCATATGGGGATGTCTCCTACAATGGAGAATTTTGTAAATTATCTTAGAGAGAGCTAAGAAGACTTTTAGAGCATCCGCGTTGCTCTGAAGCGCATTTACCTCGTTTCATATAGTATAGAGCTGTCTATATCACAGGATATATATTTGGTTGAACTTGGCTAGAATTTTCAACTTTTAATAGATTAAAAAGCCCTATATTAGTCTGTATATCTGTTTCTTTTTTAGCTTATCTAAAAGTTCTTTAGTATTAAGATAAGAAGTAACATATACATATAGACATTACGAGGGTACTCAGCTTTACTTTATATACAAGCAATCGCTAGGTAATAATAACTCTAGGATCACCTGTCTTGACTATTCCGACCCAAGTGAACCGAGTACGAATATAGCACTCCACACGTAGTTCGCGGTCTAATTAGAAGCTTGATATGAAGGGAGAAATATTTATGGAATTAAGTCCATCGTTCTTTTCCCATGATTCGTAATTAAACCAATCTTCAACGTGGTATTAGACAAGCGCACTTCGATTGCTACGGACGCTATAAGTGGAAGTCTGAGCCTTTTTTACCCCTAGATGCAGCCTTCTTCGACAGGCCCTTACATGGATGCTCCCTTGGACGTAGCGTCCATTTTCTCCACTGATGCCTTGGCGATACGTCTCGTACTATCCTCCAGATTTTCCATGTTGGAGATCTCCTCAAACCGCTTCCGCCAGTACGCCCAGCGGTCCAGACTCCAGCCTTTCTTGGTACCGAAGTTGGTACCGTTGTGGTCATACTCCGAGTCCATCTCACCACCCTCCACTGCCTTCTCATACAGCTCGCGAGGGCAGTGTATGATCCATTGCGCAGCAGCGGGCACGAGGGCGTCTAGCACAGTGGTCTTCGTGTTGGGATCCGCTTCCTCCTCCTCCTCCTCATCATCTTCTTCTCCTCCTTCTACACCGTCCTCATCTTTGTCATTATCTTCATCGTCACTGAAAGTCATAGCGTCTTCCATCGGTCCAGGAGGAGCTTGATAGGTCGGCGAGTTCTTATCCCATGGAGTTCGCTCCAAGGCCATACGCAGACAGACGCCACCGCGCTGGCGCTCTTCGCGCAACTTCTCGACGCCTCCAGCTTGTGCTGTAATCTTGGCCATAAAACTGTTCTGGTTCACCCACGCCTGGCGGTTCGCCTGGCGGTTGGGGTCGTCCTCCTTGAGGTCGCCAACTAATAAACATCAGGTCAGTACTTGCCTTTGGCTCACATCTGCGCGGAAGTCATGACTCACAGCTCATAGCCACCCACTCAGTCCAATGGTTGTCGAACTCGGGCAGGTGACTGAACCAGGGTTCGGGGCCACTGACGCCCTTCCCGTCAGGCAATCGCTGCAAAGCAATTACCAGAGCAGCCAGCTTATCGTTCTGAGAAGGCAGCTTGTCTACTGCATCTTGGATGGCAAACCACAGCCCAGCTACAGGGCTTTCGCCAGATGGCTTGATGTATGGCTCCGCGATGCGGGACGCGAGTTCGGAGATCTCGCCTGGGGTCTTGGCAGTGCCGCTGAAGAGGTCCTTGAACGCGGCCAGATGCTTGTCGGCCAGGGGCTGGGAGGCCTGCTTCTGGGCAGCGACCCACGAGTCGATTGTAGGCTCTGTGTGCGCAGACATGTCGGGTGTTGGGGTTGATTGAAGGTCGTTTTTTTCTTTCGCTGAGTCTAGTAGTTTGAGATTGAACAGAATGGAAGTAGGAACGGGAAGGCTCTGGAGCCTTTGGCGCTGGCAGGCGATGGAGTTAAACACAATACAAGTGATGGCGCCGAAGGGGCGATGATGTGTAGAGCATGGGGATTTAGTTGGCTAGGGAAACCCTGAGCAAATTCACATCTGGCACGAAAGCTATGACCTTCTTTTACGTGGTACAGAATGAGGGGCTGAGCTGATAGTGACATCATAACAATGCGAAGAGTAAGATGCACTGCCTGATGTGATGGCCTGCGTGAGAACAATGTTTCAGCTGTGTGATATTGCATATTCAGCTCCAGAGGTAAGCAGATCCTTAGGTGTCAGATGGTTGCCCAGCTAAGAAGTGTTGCGGCGGGAAAGACAAAAGTCGGGGGAGACAGGAAGCAACAAAGCGGCGAAGCTAGACACTGATTGGAGGCTAAGCAAGCTGAATGTACTCCGTACGGCAACAAAGGCTTTTTGTAAGCTTCCATATTCATTGTGTTGAGTTGTCGGGCTCTGGCCGCTTCCATTGCTATTGAGCTTTATTCTCTTTCTCTTACGTATGTACTCCGTACAGGGAGGTGCAAAAAATTCTGAAGCAATACAAATCACTCAGTGTATCTACCTTAGTCCAGGCACAAATGCCATGTAACTGATTCTGTATTCGATTCTGAATCGACTGATATAATTAATATAGCGTGTACAAGTCATTAGCGCGGATAATTACTTCAAGTCTGTTAGGTATAAAGTCCGCTAGCCGCAACAACATATAATTATTAACCACCCAAGAAATTCAAGAAGAAAAAGAACAAACAGAATAAGAATCCAAGTATAATAGGGTCTAGAATGATCTTTTCTTTCTTAATAGGCGAACAGCCTACCTATATGAAAAACAGTACTTACTTAGGTTTGGCATTTCCTATAAATGTCACTCCGTCACCCACTTGCCAGCCTACATGCATATTTATCTTTTGGGGCATTGATCTGCTTACTATGCAGATGAATTATACGCGCCTAGAGTTGAGGCTGGAGAAAAATCAAAAGGACCTACCCTTTTCATTTGTCCAGCTGACATGTCATGTAACACGAAGCGAATACAAACTTATGGCTGATATAATCCTCAGGACTTTAGAGGAGACTAAGCCGAAGGGAGTATTCATGAGCCGTCACATAATGACAGAAGAATCCTTCCGGGAGGCAGAGGGCAGTGGAAAAGTGAGATATTTAGTAATGACCTGAAAATAATAACTGAAAGTACCTAGGTAGATCCCAAGGGTTTTGCGTAAGGCAGACCATACTAAGCAACTGAGGTACCATGAGCTGTACGAGGTTTGGCAAGGTAAGTTCTCGACAGGCACTGGGCAATGTATAGAATCAAAGAGGGTAAATAAAAGGGGGACGTCTCCCAAAGTCATCTGCTATCTCGAACTCGTCACAGAATCAAACAATAAGGCAGCTCGCTCCTTCACTACCAATCTCAGCCTTTGCCAGTTCTTTACGGCTCTCATTCTCTAAGCCATAAACCTCACCACCTCCTCAACATGATCTTCACACGCACTTTCGTCGCCGCAGTCCTAGCTCTGGCTCCCGTCATCAGTGCCAACGGGCTCAGTGAGCGCGCCAACACGGACTTCGCCTGCCCGGCGACTAACAACGGCCAAGACCGCAACTACGTGGCTCACACCTTCACCGCGGGCCAGGCCAAGGCGGCCGTGGCCGCGGCCTCAAAGTACCAGAACAAAATGGGCGAGAAATGGAAGCCAGGGCGCGACGAGTACCCGCACTTCTTCGGCAACGGCGAGCAGATTCCCTTCCCCTGCGGCGCCCAGAAGGCCGAATACCCCATTAAGACGGACGGCAAGGTCTTCCCCCCGCCTACCGGCGACGTTGGCCAGATCCCTGACCGCGTTGTCTACGAGTACGCGTGGGTTAAGAAGAATGGCAAGAAGACACTCCAGGTCGGGAAGATCTGCGGTGTCATGCGCCACGGACCAGGCCGCGACTTCCTCAACTGCCCCGGGAAATAAGTAGAGTCTGGGAGATTACTAGAGAAAGTCAACATTATAGCTCCTATTGAACAACCAAGTAGCAGGTCTAATAGATCTCTTAGCTCATACTTGAATCTAAGCTTATACCTAAATATTATAATTCCTAATAGGCTTTCACTAGTACACTAGATGATGCTCTCATAACATCCGGCGCTCTTGGCGAGGAAGCCTAGAATCGGACGACTGGGCTGGAGCGCCTTGCTGATATACTCGGCGTGAAACTGAACACCGATATACAGCGGGTGATCCTTCAATTCCATCAGTCCCATACGGTCGCCTCCTTCGCTCTTGCCCACAAAGCGAAGCCCATTGCATTGAGATCCTTGACATAGTCTGGGTTGGTTCCGTATCGGTGGCGATGTCTTTCGTGAATAATAAGCTCTCCTGAACCTCTATTCCTGTCGTCAGAATCCTTATACATGTGTCGTACCTGGGACCATTCCGTATCGGACTGGATGTACGTCGCTCTCAAACCAAGCGCATTGCTGCTCCCATTTTCTTTCATCTGATCCAGCTTAGGCATGTATACAACAACCGGATTGACTTTGAGACCAAGCACATTGCGAGCAAATTCAATAACCGCAATTTGCATACTAAGATATATTTTCAAGGAAGGGCTTCTTATTCTATAACCTGAGGCAGGCAGCACTTCGTGAGAGCGCACGTGATACTCGCAACTGCCACTCCTCGCCGCCAATTTCTGCCTGAGGTAAGTACCTTCCGTACATCGTGGCAATCTCGCGAACATCTTGGAAGTTTCTCTCTTTCCACCCCTGTATCTCTGATCGAGTTCGTCAATGTATTTTCCCCAACGCTGCTCAGATTGCCAGATCATTCTCCAGTGACTTCAGGCACGATGGCCACTGGTTCTAGCATTCCAAGTCCAGAGGCCCGGTTCGCCTGGCTTCACCAAAATAGCCTGCGTTTATACCCAATTCACAGACCGTCGCCAACCATTACGTCCATCAATGGTCCCTCTTCTTTGCCATACGACACCATGCCCTACCACGGGAAATGCGCCGGCTGTGGAAAGCACGGTCGTAAATTGGCCTGCTCGAGCTGCAGGGTCACTGGCGTAGGCCATCTCCGAGTCTACTACTGCTCAAGCGAATGCCAAAAAGCCGACTGGCTATCCCATCGAGAAGTATGCCGATCCCGACAGCAAGTCGCACGTGCCGTTTCTATTCTTATAGGGCTGTGGGCGGCCCTACAGACCAGTACCTATGCTGAGAGATGCGATTTCTCCCACGAGGACAACGGCCTCATCGCGGCTGAGCATTGGAAGAACGACCAAGACCGTCGATGCTACACTGGTGCCTCGTTTTTTAGACGCTTCCCGGATGATGTGATCCCTAAAAATATGAGCGCGAGGGCAGAGAAGGCTGTGCTTTTTGATAAAAACACAGATGAAGTCACCTCGATTGGAATGCCTTGGGTTAGAAGATTTCTCCAACGTGAGTTCGCGCACATATGGCTACCCTCTTCTTCAAATAATTTACATCGTGTCCAGCTTTCTGCACGAAGATTGAAGAAATAGAAATCAACATCAAGAACCCAGCCCTCATGATCGGGTCACTCAAGTTCGCTAGACACAATGTCCTACGCGTAACAACTAAGACAGGCGAGGTCCTCGCCATAGATATCTCAAGCGCACGATATGGTTGGGATGAGAGCCTCTACACCTAGGAAGTGTTCCGCCGCTACCGCATCGATACGATCCTACTAGAATGCGCAATTGGGAATGCGGCGAAGTCTGCCGCTGTTGCAGACCAACTACTCCTGTTTGCCCCGGGGAACCCTGATGCCTTCCTATACAAGACACGCGAAAGACTTGTCAACCACGAAGCCGAGGGCATGGATCGTTCTATGGCGAGCATCCCAGGAGGCATAAGCCCGTTAATGTCATCCCCCCAACGGCAATTTAAGGATTTCCAGCACCAGATTATCCGCAACGCCAAGCGCTTCCTGGACGATTCCCTAGCACAGCTTCATCGAACAGGAGTAGGCCGAATGTATTTCGTCGATCTCAATGGTACCAAAGACTTGCTTACTGCGATTACGCCCGGTACAAAATACGCTGAACTCTTCAAGAACGTCTGGTTCACGGAGGCTGAAGTGGCAGCATTCAAAGATGATCAATCTCTCAAGAAGATGTGGATGTGTAGAATGTCCAGGCTACACGATTCTGACAAGGAGCATGAATGGATGGGTGGGATTCTTATTTCTGATTGTTTGAAATAGTCAACATCGAAACCATCCCAGAGCAATTTGTGATAAGACAAGCATGTGGTTACTTCACCTATTTTTCCTTTTTCTTATGTTTATTATTAGGACTATAGCCATGTTGTTCATCACTATACCAAGGAATACTAATAGACAGATTCAACTCAACACCTGAGAGATAAAGGGAACATTCATGCAACATACTCTCATCGAATTTACTTTTATCTTAGAATTACCAACATCGGATCGGTTACCATCAATGTAAAACTTAGCGCTGTTTTTCACGCGGAGCCAAAGTTCAAGTGATATTCCCAACAGCTCCCTCTTTTTCGAGCTGTGTTGTCGTAATCGTTATAAGACAGGCATGATGTATGATACAACACGTATGCTCAATTCTGTCTTCATTAATCTGACAATCATTTCCATTTGCATTCATGCTATTCGAATGATTTGCCACACGAGAAGTTCTCCCTAGTAGTTTACACATACATATGCATCTTCTGCATGAGTATAAACAGCCAGGGACGGTGTGACGTGTCCGACCCGCACTGGGGATAAGCCGAGTCAGGCTCTATAGCTGTTGTTGCAGAGAAGACTAATAAAAATCAAAGATAATTTCCGAGTTATGATGCCCTTGGAAATCCATCCCATGGGCCAATGCAATTATACATCTGGGCTGGAAGCTGTGGGCACGCAATCTCAGAGCTGCAGTGGTCTTCTTGGGCCAAATTACTCCGCTCTCACATTGAAGCGACGCAAGCTGAGCTGGACAGCCAATGCAGCGCTGCAGGGCCACGATAATGCAATGCCGACTTTGCATTGAGTTCGCCTGTACAGCTAATAAACGAACAGAGAAAAATTGCCACGACAAAGCAAAGGGGAAATTGGCAATGCTCCACGGATGCCTCAAGAAATACTATAAAGGCGCCATTCCATCCCAAGCAAGTTCTACTCCTCTCTCTCATCATCACTCACAACTCAAACAATCAACTCCAAACACTCAACTAAAATCCCCCGTTTTAAAACAACTCCATCAAGATGTCTGCCCCGTAAGCATCAATCCCCCTCTAACGCTGGTCATTGTTACCAACGCCTCCCGCTGAATCTTGACTTACTAACTTGGCTGTTCAAACAGTGCCCAGTTCCAGGTTCCCCTACCCACCGCCACTGGCCTCAACGCACCTGCTGGTATGTTCATCGCTTTTTTCACTCTATTGGACGGATGCTGACCACTCTACCACTTTATGCCAAATCATCAAGGGCGCTGCCGACGACAATGGCAAGCTCAAGGATGCCGCTCTTCTGCTCGGCATCAAGCTCGACCTCGAGGCCGAGGTCCACCTGACTGCCCGTGTCAAGGGTGATGTCGTTGTTGGTCTTTACTAGTCTACTTTCCTTTTCTTTCGGTGAATGGTGGTAGGAGCATCTTTGACTAGCTATGTGTCAGTTTGAGGAGATGTCTACTCATCATCCCTAACCATCAGTCTAAAATTGATACTTAATTACAAAAAAAGTTCAAACTTGGTGAATCTTCTATTGTTGTATTTGATGAACGTATTCCTATCGCTAGACACCACACGGGCTGAAAATCTTATCTTATGGCGGTCCATGAGGCAAGTTGGTGAACAGCTAGTATGTTGGGCAAAAGATCTAGCCATGCAAGACTTGTCCCCGACTTCCATGCTCCTATTCTTCCATTAACAACAATTCAAAGATTTCAGAAAGGTAAGTTGTTTTCAGCGCCCACGAAAAGTGAAGAAGCTCTCGGATCGTGCCCCAAGGGACACCGGTCGATAACGCCTACCGCAATACTCCAGAGTGCCAACTTGGAAGCAAACTCTTGGCCCTATCAAGTGGCCTTCATAAAAACAGGGACCGCAGAGTCAACTCGACAGGATTATTGATTGCCACGAAATGATACCTCTTATTGTGTCAGAATATCTAATCCTTTTGTGTATTAAGAGATACAACTATCTATCAATGGCTCAATAATCTGTTATTATCGTACACTATTGTCTATTATCATTATGATTGTACGAGAAAGTTGAGATGTAAAATCAATCTCGCAGTCCGCGTTTGCGTTGTTCTAATGCCTACTTCTACTTGCCCGGACTCTTTCCAGGTGGCTGGGCCCTCGTCATGATACGTGCGATAAACAATTAGTGTGAGCAAAGTAAGATCAATTCGGTCCCGTTGCGGCGATCGATCGTGATAATGGCAGGCAGGGCAACTGAAGAGTAAGAGATATGTGGATCGCTATCCCTACCAAAACCTTGAAGGCTTAGAAATCAGCCATCGGTTGTTCCTGATGTGGAAAACCCGCTCCGGACGAGGGGTCTGTACGGAGTAAACCTCCGTGGGGATTTCTGGGTCAGGTCATGTGAACATCGTGAAGGGGAGCCTCGTCCCCGATGCTTGACGGTTATATTCTGCCCAAGCTCCCGTCTCAGCTCGAGAAAGCTCTCCATCTCCAAAAGCAGAGGGAGAGGGATCTCCTCTTGTCCACCAGAATGCCTGTCTTCGACAAATTGATGCCAAACTATGTCACCGCCTCCATTGCTCTGTCCTTTGGAGGGCTGCTCAATGGCTACGATACCGGGTCCATAGGAGCCATTGTCCACATGGAACAGTTCAAATCATCGATGGGCGGCATGTCTGCCTTCATCACTGGTATCACCGTCTCCACGATCATGCTCACTGGCATTATCCCGGCCCTATTCGCAGGCCACCTTGCTGATAAATACGGTCGATTGCGTCTCATCGCCCCTGGTGCTTTCGTCTTTGGGATCGGGGCTCTCCTCCAAGCCACATCAACACAATTACCCCAATTCATCGTCGGTCGCGCAATCTCGGGTGCCGGGCAGGGTGTATTCTTCGGCAATATCACCGTCTACATTACAGAGGTTGCGCCGCTTCGCAGTCGCGGCCGTCTCTCTGCCTTGCCTCAATTCATGGCCACTACAGGCGTCTGCATTGGCTACTTTGCGTGCGTATCCACGACCGGACAAAAATCATCTCTCGCTTGGAGACTACCGTATATCGTTCAGGTCGCAGTGTCTGCTGGTCTGACCCTTGTCTGCCGCTTCCTGCCCGAATCACCGCGTTGGTTGGCGCTGCAGGGCCGCGGAGATGAAGCCCAGATTTCCCTTACCCGGCTAGATTTCGATCTCAATGAGGCCAGGAGAGATTTCCTGGCTACTGTGCAAGAGCAATCCAGTCTATCCAATTGGCAGAGCTTTGTGCTTCTCTTCCGCCGGGGATACCGCCCGAAGACTTTCCTTGCACTGTTCATTCTCTCCATGATTCAATTATCGGGCATAGACGCAATTGTAAGCTTTTCTCGTACACCTTTGTAGAGATATTCGCTAACAATCATCACAGACCTACGTATGACATCTCCATTTTCTTTCTCTATTTCCAAGTAGTGGCACTAACACATGTATCAGTACGCACCATCGCTATTCGATCAGGCCGGCATCTCCTCCACCAGCTCATCCCTCATTGCATCAGGCGTATCTTCCATCGCCATGCTTCTAGTATCGATTCCTGGTTTTTTGCTTGCCGACAGATGGGGTCGCCGCACCTCCGCCATATCTGGTGGTCTCCTCCTCGCCGGCATCATGCTCCTCATGGGTACTCTGTACGCCTCTGGCGCCGTCACGCCACGTAGCGCTGCCAGCTGGGTAGTAGTTGTGTGCGTTTTCTTATTCGGTATGATATTTTGTGCTACATGGGGGATCGTGGGCAAGATATACGCCAGCGAAATCCTTCCTGGAAACACTCGCGCTGCCGGTAACTCTGTTGGCATGGCTTGCAGCTTTGTAAGACGCAATACCTCAATTTCCATCCATTGGGCTTCAATCAGCTAACCGGGAGAAACACAAGCTCACAAATTGGGTCGTTGCCCTCATCACGCCGGTCTTACTCAACGCCTCCGCGTTTGGCGCCTACTTCCTCTTCAGCGGCCTTGCCCTCTTCACAGTCGGTGTGCTCGCCATCCGCATGCCTGAGACCCGAGGTCGGTCCCTTGAGGATATCCAGGCTAGTTTCCGACGCCCAGCGCAAGGTCTCTTATCCAGCCTTTTCCGACAGCAGGCTCGAACTCATCAGGGGGCTGCGACCGCGGCCAACGATTCGGTGCCAGCTTTGGCCGGTGAGAACCAGCAAGAGGAGATTGAGCTTCAGCCCACCGCTCAAGGAACGGCCTTAGCGCGTCTCCCTTCTATCGAGGCTGCCGCTCGAGGACTTCGCGTAGAAACCTCGTAAAGCCTTTTTGCGGTCAGTTCGAAGCCAGCGTCTGGCGGTGCAGGGGTTGCTTCTGGTATGCTGGGTTTTTCACCGTACAGTATCGGCGGGGAGGAGGTGAGAAAAGCCGAAAGGCTCCAGACGGTGAAAGTAATGACGGAGGTCTTTCGGGATCATGGTGGGAATTGACATGGACAATCAACACCACTACATACCTAACACCGTGGAAGATCCTTCTTCAAAATAACCCATGCGATTAAGTGTCGCGCAAATTGAAGGATGCGAAATGATTTCAAGAGCAATGAAAAATTTGTACATAATGTAATGTGCACAGATGAACACATACACACTCAATCAACAGTGATCGGATGAATCGTCTTGCACCCTACGTGATGCACCTACCCTAGAGTTTGCGCCTTCAAGATTGAGCTGTCAAGAAGACGGCATACACCTACACGAAGTTCGTAGTTTCAGAATCCAGAGACCTTGCTACCAATGCTACGGCGTGCCAACACACAACTAATAGTGAGATTGGATTTTTATCGCGTATTTTAATGGTTCTTATCACACGTGTAGTGAGTTGCTGTCTGTCATTGCTTACACTTTACACGTGACGGTTCTACTTTCGCGCAACGTAATATGCGGCCAGGTACCCAAGTAGATGGGCGGGGAAGCCGATGGCCAAAGTACGGTGTGAATACATAGGTAGCAATTTACGATAAGAAAATGTCCGTTGCGACTCGAGATAAAGACTGGGCTGGTTGAACGTTGGTGATGTGGCGGGCGCGAGCTAATGCACGTCGCGATGGTGCAGACAGCGGTGAAATGAACTGCTATCTCGACTCTCAATGACTCGGCCGGAATGCGCTAGGATTGATGAGGCAAGAAGGCAAAAATAGTATCATCTAGATCCATTGCGGGATAATGGCATCTGTTATGCAGATGTAATTTTAAAATTTTCTCCTGGTATGGGAGAAATGTTGATGGTGCAAATCTGAGGGATCTTGATGGTCAATGTGGGGCTGCCGGCAGGTTAAGATTAGATAGCCGTCGCTTGGACCTGAGCTCTAATGTGTTAGGCTTATTAGCAGCTGCCCAGTGGGGCCAGCTGGAATCCCAGAGGATCCCAACGCCCATTGATTTGGGCACCGAGGCGCTGAAGGACGCTGGATGCAGGGGGTGGCGACAAGATCCGACCTGATGATGCCACCATCGACGCTCCATTTCGGTAGCAGCAGCAGAGTCAAATCACGCCGGGATGCTTCCATCGCATATGGGCGACTGGAAAGGTTGCATGATTGCGTTTGAATGGTTCAGATGAGCAAACTTAAGCTAAGAAGGTCATAGCGTCGTACCTTACCCAGGCCATGGCCTTTCCCTGCTCATGGCGTCCAGGTGTCGGCGCACATGACGTGAGAGAACCAACCACCCGAACTGGGCTACCGCTGTCAGGCACACGGGAAGGGGGGGCAGTGATGTATGACATCCCTGCCTGGTGCCCCTCCTTCTAACGCACCTTTGGCTTGTTTGTCTGTTCCCCTCCAACCACATGCGGATGGATGCCAGCTTTGTCGCAGCCGCGGTGGACACCTGCGCACCCATAATAGGCTGCTGGTATATGCCCAGCGACCAAGATGAACCTACTGCACCTTGACGGGGAAAGACTTCGTGGTGGCATTGTACTGGACTGATCCTGCTCCTTCATCCCACCGCGATTTCCCCTCCCAGTCGCGTTTTCAGATCAAATATCATACTAGCCGCTTGCTGCTGGTACCTTGGAGTTGGACTTTTGATTCTTTGTCCTTCCTTCTTTGATACCGGTTTGTCGCAGCGTCTAACAACTCACCCTCCTGTGTATGCGGTCAACCACGCAACTTGGCGGCGTTTAGGCGCTCGCGCGCAAATGCCACTGCGCCAGTCCTTGCAACGGACTGATGCCGAGGTTAGTCCAAACGGATGAAAGACCTTGGGTCCTTTGTGCCTTGTGCCCGTTTTCTTGTCACTAACACATTTCTTTGATTCAGACAAACCCTTTGTGGTGCTATTTCTGAATGGCCTTTCTCCTCTGCGTCATCACCAAGCCGAGCCACTTACCCTACACACACACACTAGCCCAGGCACAGAAACACCACGACAATTGGTGGATTTTGACAGGGGAAACGCGGTGGCTGCCAGGTTCCAAACACCGGCGCAATCGCTCTTTCGTCATCAACGTGCATCGCCGTCATTTGCCTTTCCTGTCTCATTCCATTTAGCTTAACCTTTTGTCTTCGAACCCTTCCCGACCCAACGCCTGCCTCCTCATTATCGGCACGGGGCCCCCATTCCGGGACTGGCTTCTGAAACATCTCTCGAATTCCCGACGACCACCAGCATCAACTGAACCGACCCTTGTCCCCAGATCCCACAACCCCCCCTTAGGCCACGACGAAATAATCACCGTGCTCCTCGACGTCCGAAACAATCCCGACCATGTTGGCGGGCCCGACAGCATTGACTTGCACCGAGACATACCTTGGCGACTGCTGAGGCCGTCACGCGACGACCTTCCTCGGCGGATTCTGCCTCAAATGCCCGCTGCCCACTCCGCCGCGAACCGAATCATCATGGAAGGCCTGGCTCTCGATCTGAGCCACCGCCATGATCCCGCCGACTCTACCGTACACTGCTGCTGTGGGCGACCAGACTGCGCAGTACTTAAGAAGAACACCTCCGTCCTCGACACCGTGGAGAAAGATGTGCAGACAGCTGCTCAGCTCGGCAAGGTATGTGGTCTTTCTCCAGTGCCTCCAGCTCGTGATTTGCATCCGCATTCCAGCACCTCGCTTCGTTCGTCTTGTGTCTCTCGCGTCCTACCTAAAAATCCTTTGACCCAATGCTTTCGCTTTCATTTCGGCTGCATGCCAGTCGGATGGCTGGGTGCTGGCTTTTGAAATGCGAGGTCTGCCCTAGGGTTCTTCTTTTTGTGTTCTTCTTTCCATTTCCTTACGTCTGCTCAACTATGTCAATATTTCAATCCCTGTATTCCTCCTCTTCGTCAACTCGACATTCCGAGCAGCACCATGGCGGAAATAGTTCAGGAACCACCGCTAATATTTTCTTTGCAGGCCCTGTTGGCAAGGCATGAAGCCTACATGGCCGATGCCGAGCGCGACCGCCTTGAACTGACCACCCGCATCGAACGGTTGGAAATGGACAAGCTGGAGCTAGAGGCCGAGAATGCCAACAAGATCGACGAAAACCGCCTGCTCCTTGACCAGCTCGAGCTTCTTAACAACACCATCTCCGAGTCGGATACGAAGATCAAGAGCCTCGAGGCCAGCCTTCTCTCTTCACAGATGGCCGTGCGCCGGTTAGAAAGCGCTGCTAGTCGGGCTGAAGATGCTGAGCGGCACTTGATGGCCTTGGAGGAGGAGCAGGAGCAGCTATATGCAGAGCTTCGCACAACTAGGGAAGATGCTCGCACACAGTCTCAGAGGTTCAAAGAAGCCCAGCGGGGAATCGTCGACATGCAGGACCAGTTGGAGCGCATGGAAAAGGAAGCACAGCAGGAGCGAGAGCGCCATGCCCAAGTCATCGGTCGGATGGAGCGCCAGCGTGAGGTCGAGAAGCAGCTTGATACTGCTGCTGGCCGCCTCAAAGGCGCGGCTGCTGCGACAAAGTCTCTGGCCAGCCAAAAGGAAGGCGGTAAGGTCGTCGGCCATTTCGTGCGTGATCTTCTTCAGGACAATGCGAATCTACAGCTTGGTATTGCCGAACTGAGAGAGATGCTGATGAACTCAAACGACGAGATCCAGTCATTGCGCGACCAGCTAACCTACCACCAACCAATATCTGAAGACAGGCCTAGGAACATGGCGAGTCTCATGGCAGAGCTTGAGCCAAAAGAGTCGCAGTTCACAACACCTAGGCGCCTTTCCCAGGAATATCATGTCCACCACCATTATCATGTTACACCTAAACAGAAAAACAAAAAGAAGCGATCAAGTCTGGGCGCCGGGGTATTCTCTCCCCAGGTACCTTCTTCAGCCGCTGCATCAACATGTTCCGGTCCTGCGGGTTTATCGTCTCCTACCACGCCTGCCATTCTTGCCTTTCTTGAGAGAGAGCGTGCTTCAACCCCACAAGGCGAAAAGGCTGGCTGGACGAACAATGTAGCTACCGCGTCAGAGATCACTACGGCTTCGATGCCCAGTTCTCCCCGTTCAAACCGAGTGAGCTCCTTGTTCGATGGCGGCATTGCCGATTACAACTTGCCGGCTTCGCCCACAACAAGCTTTGACCCCATGTCACCTACCTGGCGGGCGTCACATCATAAACGAGCGTCTGCTGCCTCGTTCCAGAGCTTTCAGACAATCCCGCAACTTGACATCGGAGGCGACACAGTTGGCCCAGGCCAACTCAACTATCTTGATAATGTCATCCAAGAGGTAGATGAAGATGTCAATCATGACGATCCTGCGCCTGGATTAGTCGGAAACACCACGTCGACCGACGACTCCACAACAGAAGTCTCCGAGATCTCTCGGGACGATGGGCTACCACATCCAAGACTCTATAGAGCACACTCTCATGAGTCCATCATGTCTTTGACTGGCGGACTTGATGTTCACACCCTGAAGTCCCGACCGAGCCAGATGACTCTTCGTCCTCTCGGCGGTCTGGAGGCTGTGGTGACTGGCGTTACCGCGCAGCCTACTCTCTCCCGAATGTCAGTGAAGCGAAGCGACGCCGCACTGCGAAACCATTTCAATGGATTCCAATCCCCTCGAGCAGTATCTGGCCCTGTCATGAACAGCACACCCGGCTCATCTCCGGTATCCCCGGGAATTTTAAGTGCCGGAATCAACAAGTTGACTGGCTGGAGACCGTGGGGAGGCGGCGGATCCAGCAATGGGAAGACTCTGGACGTTCCCAGTCCCACACCAACCATCAAGGAAAAGAGAGTATCCAGTCGATCGCCTGGAATCAATCAGGCTGGTGCCATCCCTGGATTCCCGGAATACTGGGTTTCAAAACAGCGCAAAGGAGCACCAGCTACAGTAAATGCCCAAACCGTCGACCAGAGAGCTCTCGATGAAGGACTTCAAGAAGTCGAAACAGATGCTCAAAGCTCGAGTACAGCCAAGCTGGAACTCTAGCATCCAGCCTAAGCTTCCTGACCACTGTCCTCCTTTGCAAATGGAGCAGGGCTTATAATGATACGAACACACTATATACATATATATATGCACCTTTCACCAGCGGCGTTCACGGCATTGCATTGCGATACCTACTACTACTTTTACGGACATTTACTTTGTATTACCAGCTTCGCGGGAAGGCTGAGGAGGAGATACCCTCGGGATTTTCAGAGCATCTTGGGACATATTGGGATTGGCTCACCCATTTGTATACCTTCAATCGTTTTCGGGCCAGACATTGGCGACCGATAGGCAGGATTTGTTTTGTTTTATAGATACGGCGTAATTTAGGAGGGGAGTGGCATCCCGCGTGCAGTGCGAGGATTCTTTTTGTTCCTATTTTTTCTATTGTTTGGAGCCTACATCATGGACGCATTTAGCATTGAAGCATTAGCCACATACCCAGCGATCATTCACAAGTTGGATTATCTTATTGTCTTTTCATAATATTATTAATGTCGCGATCAGGCGAATGTAATCCTGTTTCATACCTTTTTCTTAGCATGTTGATGATTGACTCTTGTGCAATGGAAGCTAAGCTCTAGACAAGTTTGAAGTCTAGGAGTCGGTTCTAATTTTACCGTTGCCTTAGGTTTGCTTGTTCAAATACGGGGCATTGGCACGGTTACAAAGCAACGCAGACCATCAGATGGACCAGGGCCGTCCAGGAACGGTCAACCACCGGCTTCAAGTTCACGAGTTCGAGAGCAATGGCGAGGGGGGCGACATCTTTTGGGCTACAAAGAAAGCCCTGTCCCACCAGCCAAAGTGTCTTTGCGTGGTGACTCATGCCATCAAACACTTTCTTTCGACTTGGGTTATTATAGGTTTCACATAAATTAATGTTTAACCATATTAACTATTTATTAAATATTAGCAATTACAGTCGTGTATGTCATCATTACATGCTGGATTAACCCCCCTGGCTATTCTAGCTCTGCCCCTTGCCTCCGACCTGGATACTGCCCCGACTCAACACCCTGTAGCTCGACGGGCCGTTGCGGTACCTCATACGCAGAGAGTTCCGCCGACACTACCTGCTCCTGTCCTGGCATGTAGAACGAAGCCGTGCCGGTCGAGGGGGAGCCCTTCTCTGGCGCGTGGGAGCTGTCGATCGCCGCCGATGTGCTTTGCTGCTCGGCCTGTTTGCGCTTTCGGAGGAGCAGCACGATCCAGACGAGCAGTGCGATGATGCCGATTCCAGCGATGCCACCGACGATTGGGCCGGCGATCCAGGCTGGGCTCTGACCTCCATTTGCGTCGTCGTGCGCTGGGTCGGTTGTGGCAGCGACGGCGGAGGGTGGCGTCGTGCTCGGCTGCTCTGACGATGAACTGGTGTCGGTTACTGTGACTGTCGCCGTCCGGACCAGCGTTGTGAGGGAGCTGGAGGCGGACGAAGTGGTGGATGATGAGCTGCTCGATGTTGCCTTGCTCGATGTCGAAGTATCTCTGTAGAACGTCGCTGCTGCTTTCCCATCGGAGCACCGGATCACGGTTTGGCCGGTCGTCTTGTCTGGGCTGTCGTAGGCCATGTAGGTGCCGCAGACGGGGATACTTGAAGGGCTGTAGATGTAAGTTAGTCGCCCGTTCTCTGGTATCCTGCTCGAAGGGTTCGGGCTATGCTCACGCACCATGTTGCCGTCGTCGCATCGTAAATCACCACCGAGCTCATGGTACAGCCCACGGCCAGACTTCGTACGCCATCAACGCAGCCAGCCCAGCGACTCGATGTCGTGTAGTAGTCTCCTGGATTACATGTCGCAGCTTGGTCTGTAACGGGTCAACTGGTACCGGCCCTTCAACGTGTTCATCGGCCGTGTAGACTCACATGTGGAACCTGCTAAGGTGTATCCTAGGAAATTTGACGGGGACGGTGCTTGCCGTTCGTATATCTTTACTTTAAAAGGGGCTTGCGTGATCTTAGGGTCAAAAGAAACACAATTGACGCTGGAAATGAAGGCGAAGACCAATCCACCCAGGATGCGATTTATCCTGAGCATTTTTCTCAACCTTTCGGTGCGTGAAGCACATACAGCTGGATAGAATTGACCGAGGGAACGACGGACCACCGCAGCCTTAAGGGAGGCTGCTTCTTTTGTAATTTATTGCAACCTCTTCATTGGAGTGTGGTCAGATGGGCGTTAGTCTCGATTGGCCTGGGGTAGATGGCTTGAAGTGGCTTGCGGCTGTGCGATCATGTTGATTGCAGTCAAAATCAGGTAGTAGGTTGTTACCAGAAATCATTAAGGTGTAGTGTTCATCATCCTTGCGTCTCTTCTCAGTTCTCACGGTCTTGAATTAGAAGGCATTCCGGGATTTGTATGTACTCTCATTCTCCCAGCGCGCATTATATAGTAAGGTACTATCAACAAGTACAGGCCATTCTCTGCTCTCCTGTGTTGTGAATCCTCCCTTTATTTAGAATGTGTCGCATAAACGGTAGCTGAACGAGACGGACAACCCGCAATTACCAGCTGAAACTAAGCTGAAATATTGACCACCCTAGTGTCCAGCCGCAGTCGTAGTGCCGCCACCGAGGCGCTTTCAGCCTTTGCTGGCCAACCAGAGACAAGTCTGGAATTGATCAGAGTCTAGGGTCCCTGCTGGCTTTGACCTTTGAGCACGCGGGAACATGCTTTGGTCTGGATCAGACGCGATGACGGCAATCTTTGCCGTTGAGGCAGCCCGTTTGTCCCTCTTTGGGGTCAAAACCTATCAGCCATAAATCGTGTTTGTTGGTCAAAGCGGTCGGTATATCCTCCCAAGGGGCTGCAAAGGTATTTTAACTCCAAGTCTTCAATACAGACCACAATGTTGATGGATGATAATCAACAATAACAACAATTGTAGATTATTGAGCGATGATTAAGCACTGTTATCTGCTTATTATCATACAATAGGAAGCATCATGATGTAACTGACTGCTACAACAATTCTGTCTACGTGACTTGGCAGTCCCTGTTTTTCTGACAGCTACTTGCCCCTTTCATGATACCAACTGGCTGAGGCAAACGTTGAAACAGGGACTGGGATTTCAAGGGAGTAGTATCGCATCGTCGAGGAATCTATCCCAGATCATGTCCTGGAACGCATCAAGCTGAAACCCGGCATTATCGTCCCAGAACTGGGGCATCAGGTTTCCGAAGAAGTCCAGAGTTGCAGCATCGGGAGGCATCACTGGGTAAAGTTCAGGAAATTCGCCAACCACGGCTCCGGATGACATGGCTTGGTTGGGTAGAAGTTCCGCGGGAGCTTGTTGCTGTGAAGACCTCTGATATTCCTGCAGCTGCTTATCGTAAACCGAAAGCGCGCTTCCCACGAGAATCGAAAACGTCGTCATGGAGTCCGGTTCGGCCGATCCGCTCGCAATACCAGCCGACATGCAGTTGAGCTTGTGTTGGGCTTGCCTGACCAGATTCCGCAGCTCCACGTCCCCCGCGACCATGGATGCCCAAGGATGTGAAGTACTTTGTACCATTGATGAATTGACGTCTGCGCTACTCTTGGGAGGACCAAGCGCAATATTCACAAGCTTGGCGAGCCACGACAGAACCGAGCACAGCTTCGAGAAGGTGGAGAATGTGAGGTAGAAGGCGTCTTCATTGGGGTACTCCACGAGGCCCTTGAGGAGCATTTTATAGCTCTGCATTGATTCCCAAGTTAAAGTGGTTCGAGCTGCCGGGAGCATAGAAGCCGTTCTGGCTGGAGAGACATCAGAACCACACCAGAGTTCATCAAAGAGCGCGCTTTCTTGGATCATCGCACGTATGGCGGGGAACTCTAGGGCTAATGTGGCTGCTTGACTTGTGAGCTCACGAAACGGTCAAGAGGAGATGCGGAGAACTTTACCATTTTGCATTAAGACCTGAGGGATTGAACACTGGAGGGCATCAATTTCTGCAAGATAACATTTGGCCATCGACTCAGTGACAGAGCCTGACACTGAATCCATGTTCCCTGGATTGTCAAAAGAAAAACTGTCGTGTATCCGTCTCGAAAGCTCTTGTATATCTACCAGGTACGGGATGAGCTCATCTGTGGGATACTCCTTTTGTTTAGATAACCATTGGCTGGTTTGTTTCATATACTTGGTATGCGGCATGAGACTTCTTTTCTTAAGCTTCGTAGTAAATCTAGTATGAACATTAGCGGAAATACTCGTAGGGGTAACATGAATGAAACGCACGTTGCAGCTAGGTAGTATGTGCCTAATAATGCTCGAACCTCAGTGGGGGAGAGGGTGGATTGAGTGTCTGGAGGGCACAAAATGCCAGCAGTCGCATTTTGATTTCTCGCTCGAGGACATTTCTCGATGCCAAGCTCGTAAACGAGATTGACACAGAGCTGGGTCATGAGCAACATTTGCTGCTTCTGTGGCTGTAGCTGATACTGGTACCAGGCCACATGAACCAAGAGACCCTGCAGCAAATCCATGCTCTTCTCTCGGCCCATCATGATCCTCTGGTAAGCCTGGGTTCTTATCTCCTCCCCTAGCTGCCTCTGCAGCGTGCAATCCTTGACCATCATCGTGGCCATAATGCAGAGGAACAGAAAGGGGCTATCTCTCCGGACGGAGTGGAGACTGGCATGATGGGGAAGAACAACGAATGGGAAATGGTTGATTGCCTTGTTTCGGAAGGTCTCGAGGAGCTCATGTGCTACTTCGGCACTCACGATACCTCTGTCCACAACATCGGGTGGCCTGGTTCCCCACGCACTACCAGCATCAGACGTCGGGGGTGAGAGCTGGGTAAGGGGTGCGACGCCAACGCTTGAACCAGAAGGGATACTGTAAGGCTGTGACTGGGGGGTTTGGAGGGCTCCGGTTGACTGCTGAAGTTGGGGCTCTAGACCGGATGTTTGGGTCAACGGATCAGGGGATGCTGTGGATTGCAGTGATGGGTTGGTAAGAAGTGTTACCAGGCCTTCGACCCGCTTCTCAAGAAGCTTTACGCGTCTTGTCTTAGAGTCAGATAACTGGAGACCGATCTGGAGAAAGACAACTTACGTATTGCTCCCAGGGCTCTTTCTTTTGTCCGCCACGTTCAGATAGACACATTCTTTGCCGAGCCGATGGCACCTCTCACAGATGTCATTGGAGTGTGGGGAGCACTTGGCTTTGCCCACGGTGCAATTGACACATGCACGCCGCTTGACGCCCCCCGGCTTCTGGATGGACGACATCGGGCTCTCATGCATACAGGCTCCTCGACTGATCGATGTGGTGGTCCCAACAACGGAGGTGATGTTGAGTTGTTCTGGGGCAGGAGACGGAATTTCCGTCGGGCGACTGGGAAATCCGGTGTTAGACCAAATATAGAAGATTTTCAGCGGCTCTAGACTGATTACGGTAAAGCTTACTTGATCATCCTGGTCGGTTCCCGCTCCCATTCCGGAGGTGCCTCGAGAATAAGATGAATAACAGCTGCTACGATCTGTAAAGGGATATGTCCGTTTATAATTATATTTTAATTCCGGAGATCTGGAAAAGATCTCAAAGGACTTGAGTTTCGGACGGGCGTAAAATATCTTATCTCCAGCGGCGGCCCGAGTCCGAATATCCCACCCGTTCAAGGCAGCGTTTACATAGTAAGACAGGAATAAATAGCCACGAGCTTGCATCACCTCCTTGGCACTTCATACCATAAATCCTATCTCAATAAGTCCTTTTTAATCAAGTGGTCCTCGAATATTTATTCCATCTTCAATCTTCCCATACCACCCAAAATGAGCCAGTACACTCCGGAGACGACGGGCGAGCAGGTCGCAGCCGACTGCCAGGCCCAAATCAAGAACAAGACCGTTCTCATCACTGGAGCAAGCCCTGGTGGTCTCGGTGCCAACTTTGCCAAGGTCATTGCAAAGCATGAACCGGCTTCCATCCTGCTTGCCACCCGCGATCTCAACAAGGCTGAAATCACCGCCAAGGAAATTTCCGAGCTCTCCCCCAAGGTCCGCGTCCGTTCCATCAAGCTGGACCTGACATCTCTCAAGCAAGTCCGCGTGGCCGCCGATGAGATCAACTCACTCAACGAGAAGATTGATGTCATTGTCAACAATGCAGGAATCATGGCCCCGGCACACTCGAAGACGGTGGACGGCATTGAGAGCCAATTTGGCACTAACCACATTGGCCCGTTTCTCTTTACCAACCTTCTCTTAGTCAAGCAGCTGGGTGCCAGTTCATCTGGAAAGTTGAGGGTGGTGAATATTTCTAGCGATGGATATCGACTGAGCCCAATCCGTTTTGAAGATTGGAACTTTGATGTAAGAGCTGTTAAGCAGATTAGAGGTTAAGTGCACATGACTGACTGGAGAACAGGACGGTAAAACCTATAATCGCTGGGCCGCCTATGGCCAGTCCAAGACAGCCAACATGCTCTTTTCTCGTTCGCTGGCTCAGAAACTGGGAAGCCGGGGTGTGACCTCTGTGAGCGTGCACCCAGGCATCTCCCAGACGCCACTCAGCAAGGATCTCAAAATGGAGGATTTCATGGAGATTGGTAAGATTACTTCGGGACTAGAATCTACAAGAATTTCGTGAGCCGAATTGAACTAACATGCAATAGGCCCTATCGATCGAGCCCAAGGCCATGCCTCACACTGGGGCCACAACGTCCAGTACAAGACGTCGTCTCAGGCGGTGGCAACACATGTGTTTGCTGCTTTCCATCCGAGCCTGGATGCACCCGGTTTGTCTCCCTCTGGAATGATCGAGTTCATTTTCTCCGAGCAACATACTGACAACTTCTACTTAGAACACAATGGAGCATATGTTGCCGAAAGCAAGCCCCAAAGTGACAGGACTGTTCACTGCTGGGGAAGGGATGCCATTGACGCTGAGCGCCTCTGGGCTCTTAGCGAAGGTATTATTGACCAAAAGTTCGACTACTAAGGACTGAGATATTTCCATATAGCTCGGGGAATGGCGAATACAAATTCTATAAGTAGCTGCCAGAACAATACGCACTGCAAAGTCACGTCGACAAAATTATTGTGGCAGTCAATAACATAATAATGTTTCTTATCGTGTATTGTTTCGTGACATTACCAGATAGTTAGCAGACACAAAAACGGATTATTATAATAGCCTATTCTTAATTGATATCGTAGCCTATTAGAAAGTTGAGATGGAAACACGCTTGCAATCTTTATTATTGTAACATCCACTTGTTCTCATAGTAGGTGACGGCTGGATGAGTAAGAAACAGCGATATGTTATCAACAAATTATGTGCATAATAAAGGAAAAGTGCATTAGAAGAATGAAGAAAGATATTTGATCTCGGTCAGTCCATAAATTTGAATGTACCGAGGCACTACAATCGCTGGACTTGTTATGGAGACAAATGTTCTGCTATGATAATTCAAACGAGAAAACCATGCATGAAAGTAAGATCTTGGAAGAGTATCTCTCATCCCACGAGAATTATGAAGTGTGTGGGTGAACCACAGGGAGAAGACTTTCAGCAGCCTTTCCAACATTTTCTCGATACCATCTCCACTTCTGTCGAAAAACCCCGTGCAAAGTGAACCCGAGGGGGAAGAGCCCTATTATCAAGGCTCCCGCTTGATCTAGCTCACCCAAAGTTGAGCCCCCTGGAGGAAATAAATGCAATCTTGGGAAGAGAAGGTAAATGAAGACGGCAAACAAGGCCAATCCCGCAAGGTTGGCAAGGAAAACCAATGCTAGCTTTAGCAAAGCCTTCAAAGCGTTGGAGAGTTTCAGGGTGTCATCTCCATCATATATGCTTCTTGTCCATTTTGCCCAGTGCTGGCGAATTTTCTGCATCGGGTCAGGATGGCGGTAGATTGAGCGAATGGTGCTAGTGACTGAGATGATGACCCATACAAAATAAAGCAGGATAGCAAAGCAGTAAAGAGGCCAGATCAATATAAGAAATTGCATGAATGTATAAATTAAGAACCGATCTGCTGTTCCTTGAGTCGGCTCAATCAGAGATATTAGTGCGCCCCAGCTCACGCCCCCACTCATACCGACCATCCATAGAAAATTGTATCTGCGTTGCAACTGATCTTGGGCGTAACCCTTCTTATCGAAAAAAGTGCAGGAAAACGTTATCACGGCAAGGAATATGAAGAGATTCACCACACGTAGTGATGCATTCATTGAGGCGACTAGAGGATAGACCTCAGTCCTTTCGGGGCTTGATGGATCAGCCGGATACGGGTATCCTGATCTCGTCTCTCCCATTTTGACCGGGCCGTTATGTGCTTGTACAATAAAATTGGCCAAATTTGCAACCATGTACTGGCCGCTGGATGTCGATCTCGGGAACTTGCCTATTTGATCGTAGAGATGTACAGTGGCAATAATTGGATAAAGGATTGCAGCGATGAGGTCGTTCGTCACGCAGAAGCGATATCGGGGATCGAAAACCCACGAGATGAATACGGATGTGATCAAAAGGTACCAGCAACCCATCGTCCCCGGCCCGTACCACCCGGATACTAGCTTGTATAGATCCTCGTCTTCTGCAGTTTGCTTCATTATGTTGTGAGTGGTGCCTCGCAAGGGGTTTGTGGTTTAAAGCCCAGAGCGAAAGTTTTTCAGGTGCTCTGCACTATTTATAATGTGGGAATGCGGCTGTGTCAGCTTCCTTGTTCCGAGTCCGCCTTATGAAGTACTTTTGCAAGATTGGACACCTGCATGTGGCTGTGAAGTGGTGGTAAGTAAACTCAGCCACAATCAAGCATATTCTTGCATTTTCTTCAATTACTGGTAGTAATAGGTGAACAATCAGGTAACGATAAATGGAAATACTAAAGGTCTAATGCTGCTATCATTTGGGGCCTGCGATGGGTTTTTGTCCCTTTTGTTGAGCTAACAGTAAATAATAAACTATTTGTTTCATACACTCCATATCATCGAATTCAATGTTGTTCATTTTTCTTTCGAAATTCTGGCCATTGCAAATAATTTTCTGCTTCAGATTGGTCTCGCTTTAGGGTTTTATTTCTTTAGTCACTTGGTTGGTGAGGCCGTTTTGGCTCGGTGTGACATAAGAATCCAGCAACGGAATCACCAAACAACGCCTAACGTATGTGATGAGATCCATGTGAGCTGAGAGCGACAGGCTAAGCTGTCCTCAACCCGACTGGTGGTTGAATTTGGGAACTTGAAAAATAGACTCACCCTTTGGAGCCAAAGTGGAGGGATATTGGAGATGTCCAATAACATCAGCACCACATCAACAAGGATCAACTATTGTTCGAGTTACTGGACAATAAGACTAACTTTATGGTTCCTCGTCTGTGCTCGTAGATGAATAACTGTAGGAACATAAGAGGGTTGCAAGTTATTGCGCATCCAGCTTCTCCTAAGCTTTCGGACTCTACATGACAGAAGGAGGGTATCGAGGGAGCGTCTCGAAACTGGAGTCTCGAGAGAGCTGTATAGATCGGCTCTCATCACACTTTCTGTGGTTTCTGTGGCAAGTCATGCATCCTAGAGTTGAATTATGTTATTGATTTTTTCGACAGGCTAGCGCATGAGCCATACCGGAGCGCGACCTCAACTCGCAGCTGATAGAATCCTTCATGGTCGAGACTTAAATGAATAAGGGCGGTTAGTAGAGAACCATACCGGCTCTAGGATCTCGAGTAGGCCCCCATTGTAGGCAGTGTCTAGGCGGCCCGGCAAGCTTTTATATTGGTAGATGAAGCCGGAGGCCGTTTTCCATATATGACCGGCCCGGAAGGATCGTCGAATCAGGTATAAACTTCGGGCTATATGAACGATTCCTGAAGATGCTAATGCTAGCTTACATGACTACATATCAACTAAATGAGGTAATGGGCTACAGTATCCTATCACGGACTAGCCTGTGCTCCCGGTCACAGTCTAACGTGGGAGGAGACGTGGGAGACAAGATTCTCAGGAATCTGCTACCTATCTGGAACCCCAGAATACAATGTCCCGGAGTGTCAAATATCCAAGCTGTACTACAGGTAACTGTGACTTTTCTGCTCCCTCGGATGTAGAGTGCCATGAGATGCAGCGGGTTGCCACGCATACCTCAGCTACCAAGATAGATTGTACAATCATGACTGCAGGCTTTATCATTAACCGAAGAGGAAATTCTCGGTTGCAATACAACACAAGCCAGATCCGCTACGGATATGGGGCATTGACTCTGGCGGCCTTCTGATCTCAAATCAGCGTCAATCAACCCCTCGATTTGACCTAATGGGATCTATGGAGATAACAGCGATCGGCTATTCTCTATTCCTAATATGGATAATGGACACGGCCTACTAAAAGTGTATTAGCTGATGTGGAGTTAGCTCCAGACAGACCCCAAGAAATGCCATCATCTGCGACGATGGGGGTCCTGTTGTCGGAGGATACTGTAGTGGTGACCGGGCCGTGAAAAGGACTGATCATTGCGGTCACTGTGCTCGCGCGGAGACGTTAATATATAAGCCACGGAACGTACGTGTAGCTTCAGTGCCCTCCAACTAACACCATTTAATCCACCAACAATATAAAACATGCCTGATATTCTTGACGTCATTGTCATCGGCGCGGGCCTGAGTGGTCTTCAGGCTGCCCTCGACATCCAGGACTCTGGCCGATCCTTTGTCGTTCTGGAAGCTCGCGATCGCGTTGGTGGAAAGACCAACTCCATGGACCGACCGGACGGTAAGGGCAGACAAGAGTTAGGTGCCGCATGGCTCAATGATACCAACCAATCGCATATCTGGGCCTGGGCAAAGAAGTTCAATCTCACGCCCGTTTTCCAGAACACGCAGGGTTCAGTGGCGAGTGAAGACGAGAACGGGAACTGTCACCTGTTCCCCTTCAACGGGCTTCCTAATGTACGTACACCGAAATTGGCTCATTGAAGTACATGCTAACTAATAAATTCAGTTCCCCAAAGCTGATCTCGATAACATTGTTGACATTCGCAACAAGGTTGAGCAGGCGTCGCTCAATCCGGATAACTTCAAGCAGCCAAAGCGAGCCCAGCTCGATGAGATCACTTTCGATCAATGGCTTCGCAATGAGGGAGCTGGAGAGCGTGCCCTGCTGACAGCACGAGTCTGGTGTCGGGGAACTCTGGGCCAGGATCCCAGCGAAGTGTCCGCCCTCCAATGGCTTGAGATCGCTCGCGGCGCTTTGGGTGTTGTTAATCTGCGATATGATGGAAAACATGGCGCCCAGTTCCTCCGCTTGAAGGAAGGAACTCAGTCAATCTCGATTGGCATGGCAGGACTCCTTCCAGCGGAGGCCCTAAAATTGAAGACTCCAGTCAAGTCTATCATCCAACAGTCTCCTAGACTATACAGTGTTACCACTGCATCCGGGCAGCTCTTCAAGGCACGCAAGGTCATCCTGAGCGCACCCAGCCCGTCTTATAGGAACATCGAGTTCAAGCCTCCTCTGCCCCTTTCTAAGCGCGTGCCCGCTACTCACGCACGGTATGGTACCTACGTCAAATATCTCGCCCTTTTCAAGACACCATGGTGGAGGCGCGTGGGTGCCTGCGGGCTGGCCCAGAGTTTCCGTGGCCCCATAAACCATTGTCGAGACACATCCGTCGATGTGCAAGACAACTACGCATTGACTTGCTTCGTTGTCTCCATTCCTGGTCGGAAGTGGCTGGCTCTCGACCAGCAGGCTCGCGATGAAGCAGCTCTAGGGCAACTGGGCTCTCTGTTCGGAGTGGGCTATGAGGCTGTGAAGGCTGAGTTCATACAATCCATAACATCTGAGTGGCAGGATGACCAGTGGGCCGGATGGGGCTGCCCGTTCGCAGCTACAGCGCCTGGTGTTATTGGTAGAGATGAAGATGGTGTTCTGGTCAATCAAAAGAGCGGTGGACTTATCTTCGTTGGCACCGAATTTACAGATGAGTGGCGCGGATATATGGAGGGCGCCCTACGAAGTGGAAAGAGGGGAGCAAGCCAAGCTCTCACGGCTCTTCGAACGGACCAGCCGTCCCTGTGAGGAATCCAACAACTCTTGCTGCGTACTTTTTACACCTAGCAATTCATATTGCCAGTGACTGAGCATTTTCGGCGAGATGAACTACTCTAAGGGCTTAGGACTATATAACATTGGTTAAATGACAGCATTCTCAATTCACATTCTAGATCTTAGATAAATCGATCAGCTTTCTAAGCCCCCCGCAATAATTTCTCGTTCTATGGGAGTGGTGCCTTTTATTGAGATTTTGACTAGTATACGTTCGTATCGATATTCGATCCTAACCAACAGATACTTGGACTACACGATGGTATAGGTTCGGTGAGCAAACACATCCGTAAGCTCTTTATTCCATAAGCATCCATTTCCTAATGACTCTGATCTAACATATTGTTTATGCGATGAATGTGTTGATCTGAGGGATGGTCTATACTTCGGAAAGCATTGTCGACATCATAAAGCCCCCTTTAGCTCAGTCTTTTGATATGAACCCCCTTGAGAATTCCAAAGCCTATCAGCGAAGCGGAGACTTTCTCAATAACAAGCTTATGTGCCAGAGCCAAGATTGCTGTTGCTGTGGTTTCGCGGGGTCGAAGGGCGCTGAGGGTCAAAAGTCACGTGGATTTTGGATGCCCTTAGCTTCAATTCTCAATGGATCTTCATATTCTCAACGTTGACCCCATTCAATAAACATCGAAGTTACGTGTACCAAAACAAAAACTGAGGGGAGCTGAGTTGACACTAAACTGCTGTGGGTTGAAAAATCACTGAACCTCTTTTCTCAGTTCCCGTTACTTTTACTCAAAAACCCCGCGTCAGGGTAAAGATTCTTTCTGTGAACGAGATGAATCGGCCCTCGTTTTCTGCTCCTGGGTCGATGTTGGATGTGGACGACTGGACCTGCAAAACTACTCTCAGAGAATCAGGTTCAGTATTGGAAGCCAGCAAAGAAACACGCCTTCGCCAGAGGAAGCACCGGAATCGATTTGTCCAATCATCCGTAATTGTTCTTGAGGAGTGGTTGCTAGCCAATCGCAAGTTCCCATATGCGTCACAAAAAGATCAGGATGAGCTCAAGGCAAAGACAGGCCTCAAGCGAAGCCAGATACTAAGTTGGTTAGCAAATGCGAGAAAAAGAGGCAAAGTTCAGCGAAGCCCAATGGAACGGCAGTCTCCATCTGTCGATTCTTCGTCACAATTTCCCCACAATCTCCGGCATCTACATCCATTCGAACGATGGTTATACTCGGGACCTGACACTGAAGTCGCTTCTCCATCGGAAATCTTGAAAGCCATCAGCAACAACCAGTCAAATATTCGACCAGAAGCTCGATCAACCGGGCATCGGCCGCACAGTGGCGATTGGCTTTATTTTCACGAATGTTTATCCAACGCAAGCAGCATGGAGGTCAGATCTTATGCTGCAAATGCTAAGTCTGTTTGCTCTGAGGAATGGAAAGACCTGCTGGACTCGCAGACGACAAGTGGATTGAAGCGTCGACACCGCCGTTCAAGGTCCAAACAAGGCATCAGCATTTCTAGCACCGATCACAATGACGGAAGAATATTCCAATGCACATTCTGTACGGCAACTTTCAAGAAGAAGCATGATTGGGAGAGGCATGAGAAGTCTCGGCACCTTTTACTTGAAAGCTGGACTTGTTGTTCCAAAGGTAGCGTTCATGTGAACGGAGCTACAAATGAAATCACTTGCGTTTTCTGTGGACAGGATGATCCTGATTCTGAACATATTCACGCGCACGGGTTTACAAAATGTGTGGCACGCCCGGTTCAGGAAAGGACCTTCACGAGAAAAGACCATCTGAGCCAACATTTACGCCTTGTACATGGTGAATGCTCGTTTCATTCATCGATGGAAGCATGGAAGAACGAAAAGAGTGAATTAAGCTCCCGTTGCGGGTTCTGTATCAAAACGTTTGATAATTGGAAGGATCGTGCCTCTCATATTGCACGTCATTTTCGCCAGGGGGCGCTCATGTCATCCTGGGTTGGCGACTGGGGTTTCGAGCCTGAGGTTGCCAACCTTCTTGAACATGCTACCTTGCCTGAATCAAGATCATTGGGTAAAACTTCAGACGCAAGTATTGCCATGGCTGGAGAGGTTATGAGTGCTGCCATAGTTGAGAGGTGTGTTACTCCAAGCGTGGATATCGCCATGTACAATCTAACGACTCTTAGCCCCGAATTTGACTTCAATGACTATTTTGAAAGTGCCAACTGTGCCGATCTATTAGAAATCCACCAAGGGGGTCGTCTTGATGGACTTCCATATCTGGCCCTCGAGTCGCATGAGATAAAAAGTAGTTCTCAATTTAATGGTGCCATTGACGATCGCATCGGTGTCAACTGGCTAATCGACGATCGTCGATCCGAAACAATAACAACAAGTAGTGGAGATCAGAGTCAAGATATTGAACGAGACGTGGGTATGAGTTTCGAAGATTGGCCTTCTTGTTTGGATTTGGACCTCTTTGAGTCGGAGCCGTTTGCCTGTCTTCCCAGCAACATGATTGCTGCGTTCTCTCCTCAAGCCCCAGCTGTTCCATAGGACAAAGTCGGCTTATGATAAGATTAAAACTATTTGGAAAATGAAGATTATACTCAAGAGATTGTTGTCTTAAACTACTATAACCGGAAATATTGTGAGCGGTGGCTGAGAGCTGGAATAGCTAGATTTATGGCAAGAATCACCAGGTATTGAAACTGTGGAGCTGAATTTAGGGCGCACATTGACCAGGTGAAGCTACGCCCTCGGTATACATGAACTCGAAACCGGCCCTGTAGTAGTTTATATTTTCTAGCAGTTTAGCGACATAAAGTAGGCATCGATTCGGTCTTTCCCCCTATTATGTGGCTCCTACTGCGCCCTTATTTTCGGGTAAATCGGAATCCCAGGTTCTACATTCCAAGTCAGGCGGCTATAAAGCTACGACCAAGCCCCGAATTTTAGGGGTTCCAGAATGTACATAACACAAAGTACCCTGAAAATAACTCACCTTAACAATGGCCCCTCAGAAGATTATCATCGATACAGGTAAGAGGCAGAATCATCATCGCGAAACGTACAGCTAATGTGGTTTTCTAACGTGTGTCTCTGGTAACAGACCCTGGACTCGATGATGTCCTTGTAAGCCAAACAAAATCATTTGTGATACAAGTATCAACCTTGTCTAACGATAATCTAAAAGGCTATTTCACTCGCTTTGAGCAACCCAGAGGCTCTGGAAGTGCTACTCCTGGCCTCTACACACGGCAATATTGATGTGAATGCATGCACTAAGAACCTCGTCCTGTTGATGAACGTGCTGCAACAGGAGAAGGAGGCTAGAGAGCGATCAAATCTGCCAAAGCTAGATTTTAAGAAGCCTATTATTGCCATCGGTGCTGAGAAGCCTATCATCAAAACTCATGGACACGGGGAGTTTGAAGAAGACGATGGTTTGGAGGGCTATCATGGCGTTGATGGCCTCAACGGCTTTCACTCTCGAGTAAGTGGACAACATGCATTGAAAATTCGGCCGCAATTTGCTCATATCGTGTGAAAAAGAACCCAGGTCTAGTTCCCGAAGATTTCTTGCTCGACTTTACTTCCGAAAATCGCCTGGAGGAAAATACAAAAGCCTACATCCCATCTCGCCTGCCGGCGCATGATGAAATATTGCGTCAACTTCGAGATAACGAGCCCAAATCCATCACGATAGTCGTGCTTGGCCCATGTACCAACCTCGCCCTTGCACTCGCTAAAGATCCCGAGACGTTTCATCGTGTTTCCAAGATTATTATCATGGGCGGTGCTGTAAGACACGCTGGAAACATGACACCCGCGGCCGAGTTCAACATCTACGGCGATCCGGATGCTGCGGAGCGCATTTTCAACCTAAGCTCCCTCTCCAATGACAGAAAGGGATATGGCAGAGTTCCAGTGGGGCTTGTTCCGCTTGATCAGACGAACTACCACACGTTTAGCTTGGAGACACTCAAGGAGTTTACGGACCCTCTGATCGCAAGTGGCAGCCCGTTGGCTAGACTTCTGAACGACATCTTTACAAGGAGCTTTGATAAAATCGCGAATCATTCAGGCAAGGCTTTAGCCCAATGCCACGACCCTGTCACAATCTATGCTCTACTTCACCCTGAGCTGATGTCGTGGGAGTCACTCGATGTCAGAGTTGAAACAAACGGAATCTGGACGCGAGGCCAAACGTTGATTGACACTCGTAACTTGCCAAGATGGAAGCCTGGAGAAAAGGGCATCGTCAGGGACAATGGCAATTGGCTGCACGGCGATACTGGGAATCAAGTGGATGTGTTGGTTGGGACAGGCGATGACCCAAGTGCATTCGGTTCCAAATTGTTCAAGGGAATTTTCCGAAATTAGACCCGACAATCATAGTTATTCCGCTGAATATAAGCGAGGATCTCCTGTTGTACTTCAAAGCATGGCTGTGATCAGATTTAGTCCGTAGGGGATAAAACCTATCTCTTCCTCATGGAAACCCTCACATAGGTACGCATGGAGTTGAGGCTTAGTTGTCGGATGCTGGGAAATTAGAAATGGAAGAAGATTCTCGCTGTGATCGAATTAACAGACAGATAAGGTACACACATATCACGCTATCTTCGATTATTGGGGCCACTGATATATATATATCTTGTGCTTTATTCTTGACTTGTTTGTTTTTCAGATGATGTAGGCTACATTATGTAGCCTGGTGACCAGATGAACCTCTAGTCCTTTGATGAATACCACCAAGGATAAGGTACCCAAACTCTGATTGAAACAGTAACAATAAATACCTTAACTTAAAAAAGTATCGGCTCTTTTGGTGTGTCACACATGAGCCTTTGTTGGCTACCTAAAATAGGCATCAGTCTTACTACAGTAAGGTTTGAAGCTATATTCAAGGTTGATGCCCCAAAATCGATAAGTACATAAACCCCGTGGACCCATCTTGCCTCCGTCCCTCCCTCTCCCTAGTCTGTGGTCTGGTACAAGAACATTTTCCATCCAAAAACACTTCAACTCTCCTAAAGATTTGACTAATCAACCACAATGCTACCACCACACAACCGAGACAAAGAAGATCCACGACACAGAAGAAATATGTCGGCCAGACCAAGGCCTCCCATCATTGAGAGGTCCCTCAAGTCTAAGGCTTGTATCGAAGAAACAGGAACGATTCAGGTCCCTTGCTTATGTTCGGGGGACATTGAAAAATCACTTTTGGCTTTATACCAAAAGAGCGATCCGCTGAGCGGCCACGCCTGCGGGCGCAGCGAGGACCTCCGCGATAGAGCAATACGCTACTACGACGCCAGACAGGGCAAAGAAATTTGGTGTCATATTACCGGTCAATGGCTACCAGAAAGCCATGTCATTGTGGCACACATAGTGCCATTTTTTGTTATCTCCTTTGGGAACATTTGCGAGTTGTTGTTTGGGAGTAAAGCGGGCGAGGATGACAAAAAGCAGAACAAGCTTATTCTGTTATTCGATGTTAAGCACTGGTTTGACAGACATGAGCTTGTTGTTGTTCCATGTGACGCAACAGAGAATCCCATTACCCGATGGCGAACAGATGTATTCCCAAGCATCCATGATGAACCGCTCGTTCCCTCTCGCACATTTCGCGACTTGGATGGCAAGGAATTAATATTCCGCAATCAAAATCGCCCATCCCCACGCTTTCTATACTTCAATTTCATCATGACCCTTATTCGAATCAAGGATCTCAAAAAAACAGGATGGCAGGATATATGGGCACGGTATCACGAACAACGCCCTTTCCCAACGCCAGAGCCTTATATGCGAAAGAGTATGATATTGGCTCTCGCCACTCATTTCGAGTCGACGGACATGCACGTTATAGAGTCATGGATTGTTGGAAATGGATTCGGCCCACCACTTATACCCTGATCTTCTCGTCCACATCCATTACACAAGAAGTCAACAAAGACATAAAAGAGGGGCTTTTTCAGAAACTATACCTCTTCCATCACCAAAATAATAATATTATCTCTTATACCCCTGCTTGTGGATTTATACAAATCTGTCCAATATATTACTAAGCCGCCTTACGTAATACAGGAAGGTTACCAAGGAAGTTAAGGCTTTTAACATATTAAACTGGCTTCTCAAGAGATATAGATATAGCTTCTAAGAAGCTGGCTATATCTATATCCCTTCCAATCCATATCTCTTTATTTTAGCCATATCCACGGTAACAGGGTAATTAGCGAAGCTATCGCAAGTTAATACCTTCCTCAACGGAAGCAGCAGCTTCAGCTACCACAGCTACCGCAGCTACCTCAAAGCTAACTAACGAGAATAATACGTTTAATAATAAGATTAATAATTTACTTATATCGTATACTGTATATAAGTATCTTCATCAGCAGCGGGCTCAAGCCCGGGCTCGAGCCCGTTATATAAATCATAATACCGCTAACCCGGGCGGTTATTTCACTACCTTCAAACACACTTAAGCCCTAATGGATTTACCGGACCTAATATTCAGAAAGCAATTTCATATTAGTAAGGCACAGTTTAAAGCTCTTATTAGTTAGATAGGTTTAAATACTTAACTAAAGAGCTTATAATACCAATCTCTTAGCCAGAAGCTCCTCATAGTCCTCTATATCCTCGGGCAAGGCTATACATAACAGGCAGCAGCTAAGTTCTTCCAGATCACCTAGTTATCAGTATTTCATATTATACAAGATAGCCTTAAGGCCTTCCGGCTGTTATTTATTATATTTATTAAGTAACCCGAGGATAACTTTATCTACCCGGAGACCTTATTTAAGCCGAATTATAAATACTTTTATAACTATATCGGGGCTATTAATAGTATATATATTCAAGCCTTTATCCCTAGATTAAGTTAGAAGAAGTAGTATATAAGGAAGTTAATAATAGCCCAAAATATACTGTATACGGTCCGCCTGGATAGCTCTTTTTTATATGTTCTTACTAGGGCTAAGGGCTCTGTTAATAACGTAGCTTTACTGTAATTTACTCTTAGAAAGAACCTTAAGTTGCCTCTGGATTACTTCTATTTAGATAATACAGGATTCGGAGCTCGAGAAGGCCTTATTATTCTATTTGTAACTGTAAGATATTACCTGAAAGAGTAGAGGGATAGCTAACGGGGGCTATAAATAGCTAAAGAGTTATTTAACCTGTAATACTCAAAACTTCGGGTTATTATAGAGAATATATTCGGGAGGGTAAAAAGGAAGTTCAGAATTATTAGAATAATACTACTGGAATATTACTTAAAGCTTCAGATCCTTATAGTATATACGTATTATAGCCTGTAGAACTTTATACTATAATACTAAGGCCCGGATAAACAGATCAAGAAGGAGCTATATAGTATACTCGTTAACTGGGTAAATAAGAATATTAACTCTTCTGATAGTAATAAATTATATAATATAATTACTAAAGAGCAGTAGGAAAGTTATTAGGGTTATATAGTAGTAAGAAATATATAGTTATATATAAAGTTAGAAGCTTATAATATAGCAACTTAGTATTATAAG